CGTGGTCTTTGGTGCAGCCCCTACCTTCCAGCCTCTCTCCTCTAGGTGAGAGTTGGGGATTTACCAAGATTCCTCAGGATTCTAGGCTTCGCTGGCCCCAAAGGATTTGCCATTTCACTAGGGGAAAGACTTAGAACGTCTAAACTCCCCTCCTTTTTGTAAAGGGGTGGGAAGGGAGGAGAGTGGGCAGCTTTGGGCCAAGGGATAGGAAAGCTGGAGCTGAAAGGTGCAGCAATGAATAACCCACTGTTCTTGGCAGGGGAAGGGAAGGGAAGGGAAGGGAAGGAGAGGAGAAATGGATACTAGATGGGAGAGGAGAAGGGCAGATTCCTGGATATAATTCCAGCCAGCATGGGGAAGGATTCTATCATTTGCCCCCAAATCCACCCTCACACCCCCAAACACACACACCACTAGGGAGATATAGTCAATGTGTTTAAACATTAGCTATGAGGAAAATGATCTGTGATAACTAGAATGCTCACAGCCCATAGAGCCTGCCTCTCTATTTCTTCTCAAAGATGCTATTGGCCTCCTAATGCCCTAACGACTGTCAATGCCAACCTGGGGTGAGGGCGAGGGTGGAGGAATCTGAGGGCCCCAGCTGATGGATATAATGATGGATATAATAATGCACATAGCAACTCTCTGAACCCCCACCAATTCCCACCCACCCCCACCTAGAGAGCTACCCCTCAAAGAGGACACCAAACAAAGAAACTGTTAACTGGAAGTTTTATTGCTGTGAGAGTACACAGCGGCAGAGGCACTAGGTGGTCACTGGTCCTGGCATCCTTGAAGGCAATGGCAGCTGTGACTGGATGGCCGGACACTCCAAGTATCTCAGGTGGCAGACCCCAGAGAGAGGAATCTTAAACTTATCAGCGTATGCCCAAAACTCTATTGACATTCTTGTACACCTCCAGCCACTGCTTAGAGTCGAGGGGGCCAAACTGATGGTAAAGTCGGCACTCAAGGTAGGCTGTAAGATTGGTGGGGAGAGCATAGTGGGTGGGGGACCCCCTGTAGGACACATAGCCCTGCCATCTACAAAGGTCCGATGGTTGTACGAGAAATTGGAGAAGCAGTCGGGCATAGACCCCGGGGTTCAGAGCTTCCTGCACTATAGCATCATCTAGATACACAGGAATAGGGCTGAAAGTAATATTATCCAGAGTACCTGGGAATTCACTCACTGTCAGGCCTCCCTGGAGGGGGAAAATGGAGAAGACAGCTTATTGGAGCAGGGTATACAAACCAGGGCTAAATATATCGATATATCTTGCAAGATCCCACTCCTTGCCCCACCAACCACCCCCCTCCCCCTCCAGCCCCCAATCCCCATTACTTGGATCTCTCAGTACTTCTGACTAGCCTTCTTGACATTGTGTCATGCTCAGAAGGCCCCTTGTGAAAAGCTATCAGGGATGACTGCTGAAACAGAAGAGCCTGCATTTCCCAGAGAGCCCAGGGTACACTGTGAGCCAGGCTTCAGCAAGAAAGCAAGGAGATTCATTTTGCCCCAACAAATCTATATTCTCTTGGCCTTTTCATTGCTTACTATCTCTTGGTGGTTTCAGAGCCATATGGGCCTGGGGTAGTGAAGGGAAAAGGGGAAGGCACCAGGAGGAGAAGGGGAAGAGAGGAATTGAACTTTTCCCTTACCTCTTTTAACAGTCAAACCCGTGTCTTAGCAAAGGATCTTGGACAAAACATGATGACTGCTGTCTCTCCTTCATGATGCTCCCTCTGCTGGTGGGTCAGGGTGGAGCTTCACAACATTATAATTTGGATGGGAGTCTAAGGCAAGCCTGGCCTGAGGGTCACTTCTTAGCAGGGGTCACCCAATAACTTGGCAGGAGCTCAACTAGTAAAGCAGTCTTATAAAGGGAGGGCAGAGTTTTCTACGGTGTCCTAATGATTATGTGCCTGAGGTTGTGGCCCTGGTGGCATCACAACTGTTGGTCTGCTCAGGGACTTGCTGCTGACAAAGATGTGTATAAAGGGTTTAGAGTACAGCTGGGGTACATGTACTTTGGCACCACGTGGAGGGGACCTAGTGCTCTGGCCCCCGACTAAAGGGCATGCATGGACAAAAGCTCCTGGTGAGTTCCTTAATCCATGTGGTTGCCACCTCCCCCACACCCCACCAGAGGGACCAAGGAACCAATCAGAATGTCTGATTGTGGACACCACTTGGTGAGGGGTCAGAGCACGAGGCCTTCCCCCTAGGGCCAAAGTGAAGTGTGTCCATCCAGGTCCATTGGAAAGTGCTCCAAACCAACTCCTTGCTACACTCCTCGGGCTAAAGCTGTGGAAGAAATTCCCCAACCTATTGATTACTTAGTGCAGGAGTTGGAAAACCAGAGCCTGTGGGCCAAATCCAGCCTACCACTAAGCTAAGCTAAGAATAGCTTTTGTATTTTTAAATAAAACTTTTATTGTATTGGCCCTCCTGTCGTAGTTTGCTAACCCATGGCTTGATAAATGATACTTTGTGACATTTAAGGGTACATTAAAGACTGCCTTTCCTTCACCTTCACTTCAGATCACTGCCTCATTTAGGGCTTCAAGTATGGCTGACTTGTTACTTTAGCTAAATAGCAGTAACTCCAAGCTCTATAATGTCCCTGGTATGTGTTATCCCTTCCAATGACGCAGGTTGAGCCTCCCCTCCATATCAGTAGAGGACCTCCAATTCAATATCACAAACACTTGCCTTGGAAGGAAATTCCTGAGTTGCTGTGACCTCTGCCCCCGCCTTCATAAATTCATCACTTGATGACTGACCTTTGGGCGATGAGCCTTTCCATACTTGAGCAAGACTCAAGTCCTCCCTGTGGTGACTAACACAGAGCCAGTCTCCGAGCCTCTCCTTGAAACCTTTCTATCCTGCTAGGGTCTTTCAGAGCTTGGGTATTGGTGACACAGACTTCAAGAACCCAGGGTCACCCTTATACCACAATGAATGCCAAAGTGGGGAGGAAGGAGAGTCATGGGCTCCCACCTATTCACCATCCTTTACCCATCAGTAAGAGTCTAAATTGCTTTGACAATTTCTCCTTTCTACCTTCTTTCCTAGGAAAAAGAGGAAGGGCAGTATTGCTGGGTCCCTACAAGGGTTTCTTTTCTGAAGCTTCGAGGAATTCAGCTTCTCAAAGTCCATTTTGTCATTCAGACACTGGATAGAAAGATTAGGCTCCTAGAAGAGTCCTTTCTCAATGGTAGGGAGGGAGGGTGGGGGAGGGTTCAGTAAATTAGGTCTAGCAAATGCCTCACGGAAAAGTCGAGGCACATTACAAGTGAAGAACTCTGACTTTCGCTAGAGTTCCCTGCATAGAGACTGCCCCAAGTATATCATGGGAAAGAGCTCCTGAGCTATCTAAAGCTTGGAAGGGTGTGTGTGCTCAGTTTAAAGAATGTAAGGAAGGCCACACAAGGAGTTCTTTTCAAAGGCTCAAATTGTCTTATTGTGATTTTGAGAGCTTGGGTTTCAGATTGCATTCCTGGATGGGAGCTATGTTGGCAGGATCCTCTTATCTTACCTAACCTCCTCAGGCAGAAGGGAAATTTTGGAGTACTCCAGCAGAGGTGTCAAACTCACTGGCCAAAACCCGGCAGCCAGAACCAGATCAAAAGGTCATTGGGAAATGTTTCACAAAACAGAAAGATGTTACAATATAGATAAGGTCAATTTGTGGTTTTCTAAGTCAAGATACACCTTTCCTATTTGAGTTTGACACCCCTGCCAGAGTACAAAACATATTGAGAAAAACCACTGGGAGTCACCTCATTTAAAATTATAAATACAACAACAAAAAAACCTCATCTTCAACAGCTCTGATCTAGAGATATTTTATCTCAACGTATTTCCCAGCATTTAGCATAGTGCCTGGCATATAGCAGGCACTTAATGAATGTTTATTAATTGATTGATTGATTTCCTCCCCACCAAATTCCCCATGAATTCTTCTGGAGGAGAACCAGAGAGAGAGGGAAAATGAACAATCGTTACTAGCAGGCAACCGATCAGAAAGCAGAATCAGTTGTTAAAACATCATTGCTTCATCCTAGAGACTAAGAACCAGGATGGAAGGAGGGAAAAGCTTTGGAGGATTAAGAAAAAGGAGGAGGAGAACTTGGGCCATTGGTGCCCTTAGGAAATTATTATACTGCTCCCCACCCAATAATGCCACCACCTGTGCACATACAATGGGTTGATTAAGTCAAAGTGTGTCAGCATTCCTGCTGCAGCCTCCTGGTTTTGCCATTTCAGACCTTGGACAGCGCATCACGTTAAGGCCCTATTTTCCCTAGCAGAGACGTCTCTGCCCACATCCACACGATGCCAAAAACAACCAATCAATTACAGCAATTCAATTTGAAGAAAAAAAATTCAGTGTAACCAGTTTGGTGGCTGATCAGTCAATTTGGTCATATGGGCCTATGTGGCCACAGCTTTAGGATTGTTTTCTCAAAATATTCCCTTTGCTCTGGCTGCTATTAATACACCAGAAACTTGGTGTTAGGGGGTCTGACTGATAAGATGAGCTCCCATAGGCATTGATCTGTCATGTTTAATGAAGCTCTTCATCAAAATGTACAAGGGCTCAAATCTCCTACACTAGCCTTATCTACCTTTCCCTTTCTCAACGTTTTCCTGAGATATTCAGAAGAGATGACAGACAACACAGGACCAAGTGATTAGGCTGACAGTGGTCAATGACATTTCATGAGCCTCAGACAACTGAAGCTGCTCAAAGAGAAAACATAAAACATTTTGGGCTTGATGCAAGTATATTGAAGAGGACCATATTGCCCAATCGACCAACAGAGAGTCAGCCTTTGGTTCCAAAGAACCCAAGGGGCAACTGTCTTATCAGTTGAGAACCATAAGGGCAAAGCTAGGTGCCCAGGCTTCACCATCCCACATGAGAGAGGTCCTAGGCTGCAGGAACTGTGTAAGTCTATAACAGAAAACTGTTAACATGGCTACTTACCATCTGGTCAGGCAACTCAGTTTTAACTATACTTGTTAATGCAGAGGTGGCAATGAAGTGATGGGCCTGTAGGGAGGGGTTTAACATGCAGTGATGGATGCAATTGTACAGCAACTGTTTTTTACTTCAGAAGCCTTGCTCAGAAATGAGCATATAAATTAGGTTCAGGCCTTACCTTGGGAGTTCTTCTCCTGACATTTTTAACTGCTATCATAAGAATCTCAGGGAAAAGACCAACAAATATCAGAAGAATCATTGTCAGCCATGTTGATACAGAAGTCACCATGTGGGCAAATATAAAATACATCCTTTGCTGCTTGAGAAAAGGCCTGCAGTGAAGAAGAACAAAGAGAATGAAGCAGATGCCACTTGTTGAGTCATTAGGAATAAAAATGTCAAGGAAACAAACTTAATAAAAACCTCAACTGCATAGTTGAGTTATATATAAAAACATAAATACTTGTCCATAGAACCCACTACCCCTTGCCTATCTTGGAAAAAAAAATTCATAAAGAAACAAAAGAAACAAAAATTAATAAAGGAACCAAAGAAACAAAAATTCATCAAATTTTTGGTAAGAAAGGAGATGATAGTAAAACACTTCTGAGTTGAAAACAACCAGGACCTCAGCTCTGCAGCTGCCAAGTGGTAAATGTTTCTGAGCACTGGAGAACACCAAGGCTTCAGGGTATTTATTTCATGAGAAATTCAGATTAAATTTTAGGAAGATAAAGGTCCCATTTGCCCCTGCTGCTTTCATTAATATAAATTAATATAAAATCAAAATATAAAACCCATCTTTTACCAAGAGAGTGGGGCATGACCACCAAGAATGTAAAAGCTTCTAGCATGCCACACAGAAACCAGAAGCCAGTTCATAATCTCTTGCGAACTGAAAGCATATATCAGGCACGTTGACAAACCCTGGCCTTGTGCAAAATCCTGTATCCAGTGGGCATGTTTCTTATATGAATCCAGATAATTTGGAAGGCCTTCATATCAGAGTCCTTCCCTTGCTGGTAAAGGCCCTAAGTTAGCCAATGAATGGTTAATTATCAGGCAGCTGCCTTGCTGTGTAACTGTAATGACCAACTGTGGTCCTGCAGAAGAGATGAGATCATGCACTTCAATCCTTTCATTGGCGAGCTAGAGGGCAATGAGCTAAAAATATTGCATACGGGCTTCAATTTGATCATTATGTCGGTTGGTTTTAGTTAACTACTTTACTTTGTAAAACAAAGGAAGGTTCAGTAGGTGCAAAGACGTTGAGAGAAGATGACCAACGATACAGGATAGGAGCTACAAGTATAAAAGTCTATCTAGAAATAACTGTGATATAAAAACAAAATCCATCAATGAAACTTAAAACTTTAATACCAATACCAATAATAAGGCAATATCCCAAACCACAGATATATTAGACTTGATTCTCTAGCCTGTAGGTAGAAGTTATGTTTCTATAGCTCTATACGACCTCCCATTGCTTCCGTATCTTTGTTACCCAAGCACTTAGCATGTGGTAGGTGGTTAATAAATAGATATTTTCTGGACTGATGGATGGATAGATGGAAAATAGTGACCATAGGCCCAAATATATTTGGATTGTAGTGTGGCCATTAACAATTAAGCAAAATGTACCTTTTCACTTTCTTAATTTTTGTTCTTTTTTCTCATGCGTGTTTTCTTTTGCAACATGGCTAATATGGAAATATGTTTTGCATAACTTCACATGTATAATCAATATCATACTGCTTGCCTTCAAGGTGGGGAGGGGCAGGAGAGAATTTGGAACTCAAAATTTTAAAAAATGAACATTAAAGAAACTTTTAATGTATATTTACAAAATAAACAAAAAATATTGTTAAACAATTAAGAAAAATGATAAAGTAGGCAATGTAAGAAAAGGTGTGCTCTCCATGAGGCTAACAGTAATTCTTGCACTATGGGTTACGATCAGTCGACCAAAACAAGCCTTCCTAGAGACCACCAGGAGACGGATAATTGGAAATATTCTCAGCGGGCTGTTGAGATGAATCTTGTGAAGGTAAAGTGCAACAATCATATTTATATTAATGTAAAAAAATGAAGGGAAAGAGATTTGCTCTTACCAAGGGGAGCAAAGGAAATTTGAGTTATTCTATGTAGTAACTCCTCTCAGCCTAAAACCAATAATCCATTTCTTATTGGCCAAATAGAGGCTATTAGGTCATGAAAGTATTATTAAATCCACAACTGGACTTGAACTAGTCATGCTTAAGGTCTAGGCAACTTTTAGGGTCATGAATGAATTATATGGACCTCTGTCACACTGAGCTGAAAAGTCATCAAGGTGGTAAGAGGGCAACTTTTCCTTGTATACCATAATTCTCTGTATTTAGTACTATTTCTCAACTTATCTTTATCTTAAAGGTGCCAAGAGTGGGAAGTAATGAGCTGATGTCACCTACAGTAGAATCCAGTGGAAAGCCACAGGGTCCTGTCCCTGTTCTGTTCACCACTTTGTTGTGGGATTGGGGGATAATTAGTGATTTGGATGAAGGTATGGCAGGCATGCTTATGAAATCTGGGAATAATCTGAAGCTGAAAAAAATGGCTTATAGACTGGATGATAGAATCAGGACTCCAAAAGGCCTCAATCAATTTTTTTTAAATGGGCTGAATTAAAGTAAACAAAATTTACCAGGAATAGCTGTAAAGTTCTTTTGGAGTTCTAAAACCCAATTGCACAAGTAGAAAATGGGGGAGACTTGGCTATTTATGGGGGAAAAGACCTTGGGGATTTAGTGAACTGGAAGCTTAACATTTGTTATCACACAAGCCCAATGGCGAAATGGGGTCAGATGATAGTGACACTGTGTCAGGCCTTTGTAGAATACATCTGCAGTATCACGTTTTCGTTCTGGGTTTCCCATTTCAGGAAGGACATTGATAACCTGGAGCATAACTAGGAGGGAGAGAAAGGACTGAAGACCATATCATACAAGGACTGGTTGAGGTAACTGGGAATGTATCTAGCCTGAAAGAAAGATGTAGATTTCTTCAAGTCTTTGAAGGCCTGTCATATGAAAGACATATATTTGTTCTGCTTGGCCCCAGAGGGTAGAACCAGGAATAGTGAGCAGTAATTATAAGGGAAGAAGCATGGTGTAGTAAGTACATGGGGCACTGGATCTGGAGTCAGAAAGACCTAGGTTCAAATTCTGCTATGTGTCACTTAACCTCTTTTGGCCTCAGTTTCTTCATTTGAAGGTGAAGGAGTTGGACTCCTCTAAGGTCCCTCCTTTTACGATGTGCAAAGATAACAGATAATGTAGAGATCAGTCTTTACATCCAAAGCCTCATCACAACTCAAAAGTCCAAATCTTGCTCTCGTGGATCAAGAACTAGTGGGATGGGCTGTTTCATCAGGTTGTAAGTCCCCCATCATTGTAAGAGGCAGCTAGGTGGCACTGCAGTGGACAGAGCACCAGGCTTGGAGTCAAGAAAACCTGAGTTCAAATACGACCTCAGACACTTACTTCTTGCCCAGGGTCACATAGCTAGTAAGAGTCTGAGGTGGTATTTGAACTTGGGCCTTCCTAATTCCTAGTCCAGTGCTGTAGCTACTTCATGAGTCTTATGGTGGAAAATCATCTTAAAAATTTTAAATAAAAGTAAAGTCATGCTCTGGAAAGAGGGAAGCACTTATCTGAATTTTCCAGAAACATTTCAATCGTTGAGAGAATTGAGTAAAATGGATTCAGCTGCTCTCTGCCCAGAGCTCCCACCAGGATGTACTCATAAGCTTTGGGTGAGCCAACTTGAATTAATTCATATCACTGAAAAAAGCTCATACACTGAGGACATGCATGACCACCTGATATATATGATGAAAAATGGTGCCACTATATGGGCAGGCCATATAGTGAGTGTGAGAAACTGAAGATGGACATCCTAACTAGCACTGTGCTTGGTACTCTCAAAGAAGTGAAGGAAGGCCTCCGGGCCACAGGACAAGCTCTTCTATAGAGAAGTTCTAGAAAGACATGGACAAGACATGTCCAGGCTGGTAAAACAGGAAGGAGTTATGATACGCACTGGTACAAGAAATGAGGGCATAGATTCATTCATCACAGTACCAAAGCATTGTGGAATGACTGGAGTTGTCGGCCTTGGGTTTAAGAAGACCAGGGTCCAAGTCTTGCCTCTGACAAATACTAGCCCGAGGGACCCAAGTCAACTTCACTTCTTAGCATCTCCAGACAACAATTTTAGGTTATGTTACAGATGAAATCACTAATTTGCATTGTGTGAGGAGTGAAAAGTTTGAGAAACATAGTTTCTAGGTAATTAAAATTACTAATTACCCAGAAACTATCTCTCGGACTTTTCATTCCTCATGATTGGCAGAGGGAGCAGAGAATACTGTACAACACCAAAATCACAGGCCTCAAATCTTCCACTCGCTGCACTGTCGTCCATCCATTCCTCCCTTGCCATCCCCACCCCTCCATTATTGAAGTAACTCTCAATAATAACTCAAAGCAAAACCGAAACAAAGGAATGTTTCCTTTGGCCCCTGTGCTCACAGGCTTCTCTTCACAGGTGCTGTGGGCATGCCATAATTACACATTTCAGAGCCTGTCAACTCTAGGCCTTGGCCTTCTATATAGTTAATTTTCCTACCTACCTTCATTTCCCAGGGTTGTGCTTATTGGGCTTTCTTTCTGAAATAAAAATCAATGCCCTTTTCAGAACAGTGAAAACTTCTTCTAATTATGTCTCAAGTGACAAGAACATATTTCAAATGTAGTTCTCAGGTTTCTATCCTTCAAGAATCATAGATCATAGAAGTAGAGTTGGAAGGGACCTCATAGGCTATCTACCCAACCCCCTTGTTTTGCAGAGGAGGAAACTGAAGCCCAGAGAGGTTAAGGGTTATATCCAAGGTTCCATAAACTAGGAAGTGGCAGGGATTGGATCCCAGTTCTTCTGGGTCCAAGTTCAGAACTCTTCCCATGGCACAGTGCTGCCCCTCACTAATGAGATCTTCTGTACTTCCCTGCACTGATGCATATCATACCCCCTCCTTAATTTAGTAGATGATTACAGTGCTTCTTAAATTGAGTCACCCACAGCACTGAAAGGGTTGTTAAGTGGAAAAAGCTTAAGAAGCCCTGATCTAGAGGGGTTGTTAGGGTCAAAAACCTTTACCACCTACTGGTCAACCTTTGGGTGATAAGTACCTTGGCCCTTAGCTGGACTGGTCCTTGGTTAAGAGACTAGGTTATGTAGTCCTTCAATTAATCTCTCAGATCATCATATGCTATTATTATAAACAGAGATTGTTTGTTCAGTTAGAAGACTAGCTTGGTCTCCTGCCCATCAACAAATATTTACTGCAGATCCTCTACACCCATGGCAATGTGCAAGGCACATTTTTTTCCCTCTTGGCTGATTGGGAAGTAAGACGTTGTAAAAAGGGAACCAGCCTGGGAGTCAGATGAGCTAGGATCTAGTTCTGGTTTTGCAACTAATCTACCCTAGGACCTTGGACCAGTCCATCGCCCTCTCTGGGTGCCTCAGTTGTCCTCCTCTGTAAAAAGAGGGAGTTGCATGAGATAGTCTCTAGGGTTCCTTCCAGCTCTAACATAGTCCCCTGACTATTTGCCTCAACAAGATGAGGATAAGGGAAGGGAGGCAGGAGGACAGACAAGAGAACAAAATCAATCCATGCTGTGCTAGGTGCCGCAAATAAAATTCAAATCCTATCAGACAATGATTTAGCATTTCAAGGTTTGCAAAATATTCCATGTGCACTGTCTGATCTGAGCCTCAAAATAACCCGGGACGGTGGGTGGTATGGGTATTATCATTCTAATTTTGCAGATTAAAAAATCAAGGCTGGGGCAGCTAGGTGGTACAGTGGATAGAGCACTGGCCCTAGAGTCAGGAGGACCTGAGTTCAAATCCAGCCTCAGACACATAACACTCACCAGCTGTATGACTCTGAGCAAGTCACTTAACCCCAATTCCTCACCAAAAAAAAAAAAATCAAGGCTGAAAGAAGTCATTTGCATATGCCACACAACTAGCAAGCCTAAGAGGTTGGAGTGAACCCAGGTTTTCCCTGACTCTATGTCTAACCCTCACTACACCATGCTGTCTCTCAATAAGCAATTAAGCAACTTGAGGAAGAATGAATCAATCAACAAACTTTTATGAAGCACTAGCTCTCCACCAGGTACTGTGCTAGGTGTTAAGGATGGGAGGCCAGAAATGGGCACCTGGCCAAGCTGTGGGTTTGGAAACCTCAGTGGATCTCACTTAACATCATCAACAGAGATGACTGCAATTTGCTCTATTAGTCAAAGCACTGAGCTATGTAAACATTGCCAATGAAAACCAATCAAGGGCTAACTAGGCTTAGCATCAAAAACACTAACATTTAACCTCTCTGCAACTGGTGAAATGCATATCAGGCTTCTCCCTACCGAACCCAAGGCCCTTGAAGCCACACTGTGGCACAATGTCTCCTGGAGCTAGAGCCATAGGAAAGTTTAATGGCTAAAGACAGGAGAGCCAACTCTAGGAATCTGTATGCCCGGGGCAAGTACCATAAATCATGAGCTCAGCCAGAGAGAGCTCCACTGCCACCGCCATCACCATCATCATCATCATCATCAATATCATAGGCCTAGAGCTGAAAGGGAACCTCAGAAGTCATCGGGTCCAACTCCTTCATTTTTCAGAAAAGGAAACTGAGGCCTGGAAAGGTTAGATGACTCAAGACCATAGGATTATGGGTCTAAAGATAAGAGGGATCTCAGAGGACATCTGGATTCATCCTGTCCCCTCCCCCTCCCAATTATATATTCAAGGAAACTGAGACACTGGAAAATTAAATTAAATGACTTGTCCAAGACACTTAATTAAGTAGTAAATAGCACAGTTGGGATTAGAGCCCAAGTCCTCTGACTACAAGTCCAATTCTAATAATGTACCACACTGCCTCCCACCCAGTAGGTTTATAGTTTAATTAATTCTTCTTGCTAACTGGGTTCTAAGCAACACTGTTTTGCCCTTCTGAAGGTTAACAAATGTCATCAGCACACTTTAAATGTGGCATCCTAGGCCAAAGCCCCAGTCACTCTGCCCTAGTTATGACTCTCTTATCTGACCAAATGCACCCGTTAACAATTTCTGCTTACTTAGTGTAATTTACAGTGATATGTCACTGGGATCAGTTTTCTAAGTTCAAAGACATGAGTTTATTTCTTTTCAAGAACATTGTGGTTTTGTCCACAGTAACAGCAATATCATATGAAGATCTACTGGAATGATGTAGCTATTCCCAGCAATATAAAGATCCAAGACAATTCTGAAAGACTGATGATGAAAAATGCTATCCACCTCCAGAGAAAGAGCTGATAGAGTCTGAATGCAGATCAAAGCATACTCTTTTTGGGCTTTATTTTTCTTGTCTTCTTTTTCATCTGTGTTTTCTTTCATAATGTTGACTAATATGGAAATATGTTTTGCATGACTGCACATGAATAACCTTTATCAAAATGCTTGCCTTCTCAATGAGGGGGGAGGGGCAGAAGAGTAGGAGAGAATTTGGAACTCAAAATTGTAAAAAATGACAGTTAAAAATTGTTTTTTACATGTAATTGGGAAAAATGAAATACTAAAAAAATTTTAAGGAAATTATGGTTGCCTATGGTGAAATAAAATTGAGGCACATGTTTGCTATTATGTGATCAGTAAATCATGTCGTTATTCTGCATTCTTTGTGATCTTGTTATAGTAAAACAGGAATTCATTATAGGAAAAATGGAGGAACGCATGAGCCTGTTCAAGAATTGAGTTGTTGAAGGATTGACTTTCTGGATATATTTTATACCAATTTATCTGTGTGTGTATGTGCATGCATACACACATATACATGTATACAATATCCCCTAGTACAAGTAAGGTAGTTGAGGTCAGGCACCATTTCATTTTTGATCTTTAAATTTCCAGCTTGGCACACAGTAGGTGCTTAATAAATGCTTGTTGAATTGAAAGAGGACTCAAGAGTATAGTGGAAAGAACAATGGACTTGGAGTCTAAGGACCTGGGCTTGGGTTTAGGTTCTGCCACTGACTAGCTGCATGACTATATTCAAGCAACTGAATACCTCTAAGCCTCAGTATTCTCACCTGCAAAATGGGAAAGAAGGATATTCACTTTGCTTACTTCACATGCTTTCTCTGAGGATTAAATTCGATAACCTAGGGAAAATACTTTCTAAGCATAAATCGCTATGTAAATATAAGCTATTAATTATGAACCTTACATTAATTCCTTGATAGGTTCATTTCATTTTACACAACAGACAAAACAAAGAGAATATACTGGATGTGAAGTCAGACCTGAGTTCAATTCTCAACTCCTATGCTTTGTGACCCTAGGCAACTCACTTCCTCCCTAAGCCTCTGCAAAAATGAGGGCATTGGACTCAATGACCTCTGAGGTTCCTTTTAGCTCCTACTATAAATAAAAGATGGCAAGCGTTTAAGTATAAATATATACAGGTGTTCACATTTACAGGGTTACTTAGGAATACACAGGTACTTACCAGAGAATGCCTCCCCAGAAGAATGAGAAAAAGATATAGAAGATTAAGGAACCCCAAATCACAAAGTGATTGATCCAAGTCCAGAACCGAGTATCTATGGCAAGCTGAAAAAAAGTAGGGAAATTAGAAATTCAGTGAAAGAAGAATATAAAGTAATCTTGCTTAGATAGAAGCTGTTCCCTATACAATCAAAGTTCAATGATAGGGTAGGTCCTAGTTTAGGCTAGGGAAAGAGGATGGGGCAAAGCAGAGGGTACCGGGAACCAGGGAGGAAAAGACCTACCAATTTGGCACACAGGGACTTTTACCATAACCTGTACAACACCTCCACTAGGTGGGTTTAAGATCTCTTGAGAATGGGAATTGGAAAACCTGAATTTTCTTTCCGTCTTGCCATTTGCAAAAGGGTCCTGATCATCTGTGCCTTGGTTTCTCCATTTATACAATCATGTTATAAGAATACCACCAATGTGGCCAAATACCCATACTTCAGAGGGTTGTTGAGAAGATGAGGAGAAAGAAGGTGCCTCTCAAGAGAAGGGAAATTTCACAGGCAAGGTAGGGGGACTATGGGTGCAAAATATTGCATATGCTGGAAGATATGGTCACTGTGTATGCTGGTTTTGCTACACAGAAAGGCTCAGTGCAGTGAGGAGAAGTAGGAGAAGTGAGGACAGTGGTAATTCCAAGAAAAAAGGACATTATTAAATATATGGAGATTGTAGTAGGAGAGGCAGCATGGAGTCACAGAGAGTGTGTGAGGCTTAGAGTCAAGAAGACCTGTTGTGGCATGGACACTGAGGCTCATCTTGGATAATCCAGTGATACTTATTTACATGAATGGCTTTAATCAAAGTGCGCTTCCCAATGTGGGATATAGCATTGATCAAGAAAAGAAAATTGTTTTTTTTTTGTTCTGTTCCTGTAATTGCATTGGCATGGAGAACTCCCAGTGTGGAAACTCCTTTCACCATTGCAGATCAGCCCCTTATGATTGAAAAGAGCTTCCAGAGGCACTGAGAGATTAAGGGACTTCTCCAAAACAACATGGCAATATGTATCAGCATCAAGACTAGGTCTTTTTAACTCCAAGAGTACCTGGCCATCCATTGCTTCAAACTCTTCTCATTCTAGGTTATAACATCTGCAAAAATGCCAAGGTATGAAGATGTGCTAAAAAGAACACACATACACACACACACACACACACACACACACACACACACACACAAAATGGAGAGGAAACATCCTAAGAAAGAGGAATCACTGATGAAACCTGGATGTTAGGCATCTTGGGAGGAGGTCAGAAAAAAAGGGTTACAACGAGTAACAACCAACTTTCAAAACGAAGATCACAAAACCGATTTAGGAAGCAAATTGAAAGAACAAAATGTTCTTCCAACACAAGTGAACAATAATAATGACAATAATTTAAAATCTCTAACCTTCAGTGTTACAGTGACTATTAGGACTGTATAAACAGTAGTTCCAAAAGTCCAGTTCCCATAAGCCTGAAAAAAATCAGAGAGTTACATGTACCATTTTGTATTTCACTGGCCAACTCAGAGCCAGTCACTTTGTCTACATTTCAGGGTTTGAGTGTGGTCTTTGCCGCTCCCCAAGGAGGACCCCACATCTGTCTGCAATACCGCTGCTGAATCTCTCAGGCCCAGGCATTAAATCACAGGTATGGCAAAGGCAGGAATCCCCGCCCCCAACTCTGACAGTAACGTTCATGGGAGCAAGTCATTTGGATGACTTTGATCTTTAAAGATTCAGATAGGCTCTACTCCTCAATGATGGCAGTAATAAAACATGAGGGGGCTTCCCATTTTCCAGCTCCAACCTACCATGTGGGCTTCAAGAGCCCACTGAATGTTGGCCCAACAAGAAGGAAAAGCAGTCTGAATCAATCCAAATATAGTCAATGAATGGCATGTATATGCCTACCAAATGTGGTCAAGATCTGAAAGTTTCTTTTTTTATTTAAATGAAGCAAAAAAAAAAGTTAATAAAAGCAAAAAAAAAAAGGAAAAGGAAAGATTCAATCAAATCACGCATGGGTGCTAGGATTAATTGCTGGGAGCAGTTCTTGCACTCATCGGTCATTTTAACGAGCATTTACTGGAACGGTGGCAGAGGCAATAAGACGGCATCCATTTGGAATAATTTGGACAGAGGCCAGGCTGAAGTTTCCCCTTGCCCAAGCTGAAAAAAGGCTCTGTTGAGCAAATGAACAGAGCAAACAAGCTCCCAGGGGTCTTTTTACCCATTTGGGAAACACTTCTTTTCCCAAGAGCTATTTGCAGACAATTAATGTGCTAATTACAAATGATGCTTAGAATGTTTTTCTTAAGGCAGGTCTGGTAGTAACCCCTTTGGCCACTTTGTCAGCCACAATCTGAATTACTGCATAGACCAGAAAGTAATCAGACTGGACTTTTTTAGAAAACTATTCGGTCATTCAGAATGTTTGCTGATTCAGGTGGCCAAATTTCAATTAGTCCAAAGTCATGAGGTTTGATTGCGGTCTCTCACTTCACAATGTCACTCTAATTCACTGATCTTACCCACTTTATAATTAGATCTTAGAGCTTAGCACTTGATGGGGAACATTAGGATTTCATTAACTCAACAACAAACTTCTACTAAGCACCTACTATGTACAAGGAAGGCTTTGGCTAGATGCTGGGTATGTAAATATGAAAAATGGTTCTGTGCTTGGCTTCAAGGAGCATGGTGTAAAGTGTGTACAGAGAGAAGTAGGCCGCAAGGTAGCTGGGCCTAAATGACAAAGCCATAGAAAGTACTTTGGGAAAAACGTGAGGAAGAAGAGTTCATTCACTATCACCTGTGAGTAGGGGTACAGAGCAAGGAGGCCTATGTTGGGCCTGGGATTTCAAGAAGCCCAGAGAGGAAGGAGCACAAATCCCAAGCACAGGGAATGGCCTGGGTGACTGCACAGAAATGGAAAGGGAACTGAGAAATGGTGGTACAGTCTGGCTGGAATGAAGAATACCAGGAAATAGAAGAGTGTGAAACAAGGCCGCAAAGGTCAGTTGGAGGCGGATTATGAAGTTCAACAGAGTATAAACGTGAACACCTCTAACAAGGCCCTCCCTGAAGTCGACAGGATGTAATTAAAGCAAAGGATGTGATGTGCTGGACTCAATTCTCAGAAGCATGGCTGGGGGCCTCTTGTTCTCCTGTGGAAAAGAGTTTCTTGGCAACCCTCAGAGCTCCCCTTTTAGGGTCATGCCTGGGCAGTCAGTCGCTATGCTCCAACAGCCATAGGGGTGGTTAGGGAAGTGCTAAGGAAGTGGAATAGCCAAGCCCTGGTTGCCTGGAGAAACAGCCAGAGCCCACCCCAAAGAAAGGTAACGGTCTTCCTCTCCACTCCAACCCACTGTGTGAAACCTCCAAATGGTCTACCCTGCGACTCACAGGCTGCCAAATGAGGTTCAGCAGATAGGTTCCATCTTTACATCTCTCCCCATTTCTACCACACGTTCTTGGACATAGCAGGCAATTAATAATGCCTGAATATTTTAATCAAACAGAAATAGTAATTATGTACATCTCAAAGTAGGCATTGTCTTTTTTAAAATCTTAAGGTCATTAGCCAGTGACCATTTCAGCAAAAATTACAACCAAATTAAGGCCACAACTTTAGAGCTAGATGAAAACTTCAAGTTCTGCAGAGAACAAAGTATACTATAGCTCATCCATGTTTGATCAAAGGCATTCTCACTTCTACCCCATTACAAGTGACTCTAGTAAAGGGTTAGGGTCTCCTCCTGGTGAGCAGCAGACAAAAGCAGTCACAGATGACATCCCAATATAATATTTAGCAGTACATAATTAAAGCCTGCAAGCCCAAACTTTACCTTTCCATTCTCTTCCAAGGTTGTAGCCTGATAAAGGAAGTAAGTACCAAAGAAAAACACAGTTCCTTCAAAGGCAGACAGAAACGTCCAGTACAAGAAAGGGCCCCACTTTAGCTTGGCGTTGTCAGAGATTTTCCTATCAGGAAATGGTACAGAAAGAAGGCAGGTTAAAGCATTTTCTCCATCTTGCCATTCCAAGGGAACAATGCAAGAAATACATACCCTAAACGGAGGGCAAATACTGGGGTGGGCATATGATTATACTGGAAGAGGGCTCCCTCTGGTGGCTTGAAAGGTACCAACTCGAGTCATCTGGATGATGCCTTGACCAATCATATTAACCTAAAACTCTGGTTATGACAAAACTATCATTGATAAAATGCTAATGTTTAATTCTGAGCTTCTCCTAGAAATTCGGATCTTTAAGAAAATGTCCTTTATGCCTTTCCTGTTGACTTTGAAAATGTAATGGTAGGTGATTGAGAGAATAGTTAAATCACTCAAAAATCATATCTTAGGACCATGGAAAAGGAACCTTAGAGATCATCAGTTCCAGCCCCTCCATTTAACAGATGAGGAAACTGAGGCCCAATGAGATTAACTTGCCCACGGTCATCAAACTAGTAACAGTGCCAGGATTTGAACCAAGGTCCTTCAACTCCAATCTCAGTGTTATTTCCATTACACTGCACTGCCTCAACAGAAGGCCAAATGCTAAATAGTGATTTCTGTCCCAGACACAGATACTATGGGCTCATATGGATGCTGCCTTTAGTCTCTGTGGTAAGTCCTTCTCAGCATTTATCAAAAAGCATCTAGTCACCCAAATGTTTAACCTACCACCAGCGCTTCCTAAGACATTACTCACACATGCAGAGAAAGATCTCTCTTTTAGAAGCATTCAGAAGCGTCTACAAATTTACTGAGTATTGTTGTTAAGCATAGCTATTTCAGCTAGGAGAACCCATGAGGTAACAGTGCAAAATGACCACAAAGATCATAGGTAGAGGCCTCTGGGAATAAGAAAGCTAAAAGCTGCTCAGGCACAGGTGATGGCCCAGAAAGGATGGCAGGAGGGAGGGAACAAGGCCAGAACAAGGCCACCTATCCCCCCCCCCCCGCCAGATCCTAGAAGCCATGTTGCTAAGTCACCTGCCCCAGCACTGAAGGGTACCTCTCATTTCCTTATGTCCTTTGCATGCTATCCAAAGCCCTACCACAGAGATGACCAGAAGACATTTTTTTTTACTTTTCTTGTAGACCCAAGGGCTTACTTAGAACAGTGCCTGGCACAAAGGGGGCACTTAATAAATGCTTGTTGCTTGGCTTACTCATTGGCTTCCAATAGTCACTGTAATACCATGGATTAGGGCAATGGATGAAAGAAGAAAAGTAACTTTTCAAGGAGAGAGAGGGAGGTGGCCACACATAGGGCTTTGTAATAAAATTGATAGAAGATGTGCAATCAGAGCTCTAGACTTAGAAGGAATATTAGAGATGGTCAAGCCTAATCCCATCATTTCACAGAGGAGGAAACTGAGGCATAGTGAAGTAAAGTGACTTGCCCACAGTCACATACTTAGTATGTGTCAGAGGTGAGATTCAAACTCAGGTCTTCCTGACCCCAAGTGCAGTGCTCTTTCCACCGTGTAATGCATATGGCAAAACCAGGAAAAGGAAGGTCAACAAGATGTAACACAAGGGAAAGAGCATTTGGTTGGGTGTGTGCTCTTGCCTCACTGAGCCTCAGCCTCCCCTTCCGTAAAAGGAGTGTGGGCTGGCCTGAACTAGATCAAAATGTAATTGAGAAATGTTTAACAAGAAATAAAATACAATACAATATAGATAATGTTATTTTGTGGCTTTCTAAGTCAATAGACACAGGCCAGCAGAGATGTAATTCTATTTGAGTTTGACCTCAGTGGTCTAGAAGACCTCTAAGATCCCTTTAAGCTCTAGCTGTCTGTGGGGCAGTGTGATATAGCAATCCTGGGGCAAGTGTCAATCATCTTTCTGAGTCTATTTTCTCCTCTGTAAAAGGAGGTATGGGGGCAGCTAGGTGGTGCTGCAGTGGCCCTGGAGTCAGGAAGACCTCAGTTCAAATGCGGCCTCAGATACCTACTAGCAGTGTGACCCTGGGTACATCACTTAACCCCTACTGCCTCCCCCCTTCCAAAAAAAAAGAGGTGTGTGATCTAGACTACCTCTGAAGTTCTTACCAGCTCCAACAATACTACTGGTGACTAGCTCCATTGCCCTTTAAAATTGCTCAAGCACTCTTCACATTCATTCTCTTATCTGAGTCTCACAACAGCCCTAGGAGGTAGGTGCTTTGGGCATTACCATCCTCATTTTACAGGTAATATCCAGAGAGTGGAAATGACTTGTCCAAGGTTATACAGCTAGGAATTATCTGAGGTGGGATTGGAACCCAAGCCTTCTTGCCTCCAAGTCTAGCACTCCAGCCATTGCATGCTAGTATCCCATGAGATAGGGTAGCAGAGCAGGAACAAGATGCCACTGGCCTTCATGTCCACAAGACCAGGATGAACATCGGTTCCTGCTGTGCTTGTGGGCAAATCCCTTCAGCTCTCTAAGCCTCAATTCTCTCCTCTGTAAAATGGGATGATAATGGTCATACCACCTACATCAGAGGACTGCTGTGAAGCAAGGGGCTTTGTAAGCCTTAGGATGCTCTAGAAATGTGAGTTTTTTTTATGACTCGAAGAGAAGAGGCAAAAAGGGAATCAAAAATTGGGAAGAGGAAGTAAGTATATTTGTTTAAAGAGAGGGGCCAATTTACATGTCATATAATAAAGGGGCATGGACGTCCATCTTAGCACAGCAGGCAAGAGGATGAATTTCTTCCCCTTGCTAAATCACTTTTTATTTCTTTTCTTTTCCAGTCCAGACCTGTGATTTCATTGGTGTCGAGAATATAGGGAGCTTAAATCTGGAAATTAAAGTTTGGAGAGTGGCTTGGAGCATCAAGAAATTATGTGACTTGCCCAGGGTCACATAGTACATGTGAGAGGTAGGATCTGAAAGAGGATCTTCCTGGTTCTCAGGCTACCTTTCATTGCTAAATTTTCAGTGGGGGAAAGAATGGGGAAGAAGGAAGAACCCTGTTTCCTCTTTAGAAGAAACATCATATAAATTTTTTTAAAAAGGCCAAGTACATCTCCTATTTGAGGTGGGAGCCTTCACAAGCGGGTGAGTCACTAAAAACAAGGCTGAAAGGCAAGAAGAGGGAGCCCAGGCCCTTTGGTATATAAAGATACAGCAACATGGGGAGAGTAGGACCTGATGTGTCTGGCAAAGAAACAACAAGAAGGCAAGCTCGGGCTGGCTAGGGGGGAGTCGCTAGGACACAGCATTGATTCCAGCAAAGTGCAAACTCCCAAGCAAGACAATTCAAAAATTCATGAACTCTATCTGCAGTGCAGTCAATCAGAGATGTTACATAAGCTTGCTCCCCCCTGCCACCACCCCCTGTCCACCACTCTGCACTCATATTTCAACAAGTTATCAGCATTTGAAAGACAAGCCAGAGACAGTGGAAAGAGCACCAGGAGCCCTGGGGCTAAGTCTCAACTGCACCACTCATTTCCTGGGTGACCTTCAATAAGTTCCTGGCCCCACTCGACACCTCAGTTTTTCCCTCTATAAAATGAAGGGATAGGACCAGATCTCTCCCATGTCCCTTTTAGCACTAAGATAATACAAATGCCAGGTGCTAGTTTTCTAAGCCTCTTGGTTTACTATTCCAGTTCCTCACATTCCAGATGGGCATCTACTAACATCATCATTCCTCTTTCTTGCCCTACATAGAGATCATAGCATCCTAAATTTCAGTTTCCAAGGGAGACTAGAAGGTCATCTGGTTCCAACCCTCTCATTTTATAAAGGAGGTAACTGGCACCCACTACTCAGCAATCCTCTAGATTAACATCTTCATCCTTCATTATAATTCTGACATAAAAAAAAAATCCAATTTAATAATAGGCCAGTTGCTGGGGACAGTTCCAAGTTACCCATCCATAAGGAGAAACAGCTATTTCAAGACAAATCCATTTTTTTCTTTGACTCTCTGAATTAATTATGCTCTTCAAGAAAACTGTAGAGTTAGAGCCTGATTAAGAGGGGGAAAAATGTCTCTGGAACATTACATGAATTAGAGGCTAATGATTCTCACCATCTTTATTCTGCCCAGGTAGAGCTCAGTCATCAAAATGACTAAAAATCTTTTGTTCACGAACATAAGGTCTTTCGGAGGCTCCCCTGTAGGGGACACACCGATGGCACTCCCCTGACCCACTAGAAAAATGGACCCTAAAATCACAGAGTTGGGAATGATCCTAAGCTATCTAATCCAATCCAATGCAAACCTCCAAAGAAACCTTGCTACAACGTGGTCAGACCACACTCATCTGGTTAAAGACCTTGGGATTCATGCGCACACACCCATACACACACACACACACACACACACACACACACACACACACACACACGCTTACACTCCCAAGGCGGCCTAGTCTGCTCTGGGATGGCCCATACCATTGGGAAGTTTCTGCTGACATCTTGCCTAGATTGTCCTCTTTGCAACTTCTACTCAAATCCACTGCAAGTCTGATGGGAGCCAGGAATTCTCAACTGATGATTTCTTACATGTTAAAGCACAGGTCTTGAAAGTGGTCCAAGTAGTCATTTCTTTTTTACCTCACTTTGCAAATCCATAAACAACCTGGGATTTTGTGTGAGCCCCACTTGGCAACCAGTAAGCACCTAGGCCACTGCCATCACCATCACTTTCATCATCATCATTGCTCACATTTATATAATGAAAGTGCTTCACATGTTATCTCATTTGAATCTCACAACAACCCTGTGTGAGGCAGGTATTTTTGTTCCCCTTAGTTTACAGATGAGGAAACTGAGGCTGAAATAGGTTAGGTAACTTGCCCCGTATCACATACGTCAAGGAGTCTTGAGGCAGAATCTGAACTCAGGTCTTTCTGAATCCAAGTCCAGTACTCTGGCCATGATACCACCTCATTGCTTTGATTATGACTCCTTAGCTAAGTCCCAGGAAGCTGCCTGAGACACACAGCTGAAGCAACTTACCCAGGACCACCCAGCTAATAAGAACAAGAGTAAGACTTGAACTGCAGGCTTCCTGATTTCCAGGCTGGCCTTGGAGCCACTCTACCTCCACTGCCTTATTCCAACAGACAACAAACTGACATCAGAGTTTTGGAAATCAGAACTCTCGAATGGGATCTCTAGACACTCAAAAAAACACATGGGGAACTGGGTCACCTTCCCCCTTCCTTCCTCCCCCCCTTCCTCCCCCCATGCCACTGTGCTTTTCAACTTACATATACAATCTGGGATCAGCGGTGAGAACTTCAATGCTGATGTGCTGTTCCAGCAAGCTGTAGGCCAGGATCGGTAATGAAGTGAAGCAGATATTGTACATCGTAAGGTAAGCAGCATCATACAATGGCTTTGGTGGTGGTGTGGAAGAAGCAAGGAAAGAGACTTTTAGTATAGTCAAGAGTTCTATATATTGAAAATCATGACTAAAATAGGGCCCTTTCTCCATGGGGTTGGTTTGTTTTCATTCTTAGTGTTTGCTAGTTATAGAAGAGAAATCCAAATAATTTCATGTCTTAATTGGTTGCCACCCTCCTAACCAATTGGCCCATGGTCAAGAAAATTAATTTACAGCTGGAAAGAACTTAGTTTATCTAGTTTAACCCCCTCCCTTAAAAGATAAAGAAACAGAGGCCCAGAGAGATTAACTAAAGATCCTGGACTCAGAGATCTAGGGCTGGAAGGAAATTTAGCAGTCAGCTAGTCCAATCCCCCTTATTTTGGAAACAAGGAAATGGAGAGCCAGGAAGGTAAGTGACATAGGATTGCAGGCTCTTAGATTTCCCACCGGAAGGAACTCGAACAGATATCCCACCCCTCGAATTTTATACACGAGGGAAATAAGGTCCAGAAAAGTTAAATGATTTGCTTAAGGTCACACACAGGTTTTCAGTGGCTCCAAATCTATTGTTTTTCATTCCACTCTACCATATGTTTCCTCCCAAGCTATGCTCAGTTTCAGACTGCTGCCTTGCTTAAAATTGTAAAATACAATCCTGAGTATTTCTATTAAAGATGCAATAGCTACAATTTGGAAAGTGTTATAACCATGAAAAAAATAAGTCATTTCAGGATAAGGCTGCCATCTTTCCCTGAAGTGAAACATGGGCAGCAGCCAGACTGAGTCAGTGTTGTGTGTCTGGTATGATTTTTTTTTTTTTTTGGTCCATCACAAGCAGAAATGGTGGCTTTCGCCAGGATGGAGGAAACTTCCCATTGACATTTTTGATTGTTAACATAGGCTTCTATCATTGAGAACTGACTCAACGGTGTAGTCAGCCAGTAACTGAAGCATTTATGCAGAATTATGAAGATTTTCCAAGCAATTTATTAGCCTCCTCCCCTTAATGAAAGCTTTAGCTAGGGGGAGGGCCTCTCTGCGTTCTGCTAGGTGCTATACAAAGTGAGAAACTGCCACTCAGTGGTTCATCGGAATGTGGAACGCCCCTTGGAGGAAACCTTTTTTTCCCCTGTTTTAAAAAGAAGTAAACAGACCCTAAAGGATCAGGGACCAAAAAACAAAAACAAAACCAAAAAAAACAGAAGGCAAAGTTCCTGGTGTCAGGAAGCCAATTTTATCCCCATATAAGAAACTCCCGATGCTTTTGAGGTTGGGACCTTGAGAAACTTGACCTTCCAAAGAAGTCAGTTTTGTTTAATGCTGTGGGGTGCTCCCTACATATGCCAGGTAAAAAAGGGACTCAATACTCTGTGAATTTACAACAAAAGAGGATGGATAAGTCAGTTCTCTCTCTCTCTCTCTCTCTCTCTCTCTCTCTCTCTCTCCTTTCCATCTCTTCCTCATCCCATGTTTCTCCTCTTTCCTTCCTTCCCTGTCTCCATCTTCCTCTCTCCTCTCTTCCCTAACTCTGTCTCCCTCCCTCTCCCTTTGCCATTTCTATCTCTCCCCTCCTTCTCTACCTCTCTCTCTCCTTCTCTCTTACCCTTCTCTGTGCTCTCTCCCTCTCTACCCCCTCTGCCCCTCTTTCTCTTCCTCTCTGCCCATCTTCTCCCTCTCCTCTCCCTCTCCCATGCCTTTTCTCTTATTCTCCTCTTTCTCCCTCAATGCAATCTGGTGTGAGAGGTCCTGGCCTTGGCATCAGAGAGAGCCTGGACTTAAACTCCAGCCCTGCCCCACTACAATTTCTGTGACTTTGGCCAAGTCACTTCATTTCTGTGGCCTTTAGTTTCCTCATCTGTAAAATGGGAGGATGAATAAGATGAGCTCATTGAAAATCTTCCAAGTAGAGGCTAAAAGACCACCCATCAGGTGTAGACAGTATTCTTTTGGGCATATCAATTGGACTAGACAGTTGCTGAAGTCCCATCCAGCTCTAAAAATTCATGACCTAAAAAGGTCTCTTCCAGCTCTAACTATACAATCCTATGACCCTAGGCAGAGGAGAGATTAAGGTGTTAGATTTATGTGCCCTTTCTGCATGTCCCATGGCCATGTTTAATAATCTGGGGGGTCTTCCTGGAGTACCTAGGTCTTGCAGTGAACCCAAGCAAGGTAGATCATCAGTTGGGAGATAAAATGTGGAAGGGAGGCCCACACAAAGAGGGTGAGAATGAGGGTAAGGTATAGAAGGATAGAAACACGTTCACGTGGACTAGCACAAAGAAAGGGAGCTTCTGACCATGGTGGATGAATGAAGTGACCTATGATGGAGGCTACGACCTCACAGAACAATGAAGTGACCTATGATGGAGGCTACGACCTCACAGAACAATGAAGTGACCTATGATGGAGGCTACGACCTCACAGAACAATGAAGTGACCTATGATGGAGGCTACGACCTCACAGAACAATGAAGTGACCTATGATGGAGGCTACGACCTCACAGAACAATGAAGTGACCTATGATGGAGGCTACGACCTCACAGAACAATGAAGTGACCTATGATGGAGGCTACGACCAAACAATCTGGCACAAGATGTCCACAAAAGGCATGGGACAGAATGATAAAGCCAAAGAAGCCAGTCACAGGACTGTTGTGAATTGACAATTCAACTCAATTCAATTCAACACTGATCTATTCTTTCAATAAATGTTTATTAAGGGTATACTATGTTGTTAGGCACTGGGGATACAAGGAAAAAATAAACATCACCCCCAACAGTTCCTACCCTCAAAGAGTTTTTGTTCAGATAAGTAAACCCCAAATATACACAAAGCAATTTACTTGGGGTGTTTGGGTGTGGACAGAGAATCACTAATAAGGGGTGAAGATCCTGATAGGCCAAGTACAAGAGATAGCTTGTGAACCAAGCCTTGAAAGGAAGAAGGGAGGGATTCCCAGTAAACACACAGACCAGAAGACTAGATGGGAAAACTTCGGGAGGCAGAGATTCTGAGGATGCAGGAGAGAAGGGCAACAGCTAACCACTGCCAAAACTTAACACCTTTTACTGGGATCAACCCTGAACAGTGACATTTGGCAACACTAGAGGGGGAAGGAGTGGACTTTCGGGGACTGCCTAAACTGGAAGACAGAAAGGGAGGAAGGCCAGGCTCAGTCCAGGACCCCCAGCCTCAGCTGCCAGGCAGACGGCAGTGTTGCTCACAGTGTCAGAACCCATGGCAAGGCAGCCAGGATCTGGAGAAGGGAAGGAAGGAGTATTGGGGTTTTTTTCCCCTCTCCTGTTTTGCTTGAAGAGGTGACAAGATACTCAAGTGGCAATATTAGGGAGAACTGCCAGGCAGCATACATGATTATATGCAGGCCTGTAATATTCTCAGTGGGAATTAAGAATACAAGCCTATGGAGAAAATAGAGGCCCTTCATCCTACGCAGCCTTCTGGGCAACCATTTTTAATGTGGTAACTACGCCAAAGCGTGTCGGAGTGCTGGGCTCTGAGGGGACGTTGCACACCTAGGAATTCTCCAGGGGGGATCATTCTGAGACATGGAAGGAGATGGTTTCTATGGAAACTGTTAATTTTCCCTAAACACTAAATTGAAAACTAGGGCTCTAATTGACTGTTTAGTGGGGTAAGTTAGCCCTAAATCTCCCTCAACTACAAGAAGCAATAATTATGTTTTCCCCACTAATAGAAGAGAGCATGCCAAGAAATGAACATGAATTAGGCTAGCCAGATTCGCCTAGAAACTAGCTAATAGATCAGTCAGGAGGACTGACTGTTAAATGAAGGAATTAAAATGAAAATTCTTTAAATTTAAAATTCACCAAAATTCTTTAGCAGAATTTAACCATTAAAATGTAAGCTCCTTGAGGGCAGGAACTGAACCATGTGGGGCTCTGTATCTTGAACACAAATGCCTGACACCTAAGGATAGAGACTGGAGCTGTGCCTTCCTTGATATAGATAGGTCATGTGATTACATTGATATCGGAATGAGGAAACATCTGGATGAGAAAACTCCCTATACCCCCAATTTCTAGTCTTAGAGAGTGGCCTAGAGCACTGAGAGGTTAAGTCACGGCTCTGGGTCACCCAGCTAGTGGTGGGACCTGAATCCAGATCTTCCTGGATTGGCCTTCCAAGGCCAATCCTCTCTATCTCCTATGCCTTTCATATGACATACAGTGGGAGCTTAATATATGTTTGTGAAACTGAACTGAATCTAGTTGAGGAAAAAAAAAAGCATTGTGAAAGCTTCCAATGTGGCAGAAATCAATGCTCTTCAAAAGAATCAAAACTCTGGACTGAATCCCAGCCCTGCACAATTCTCATTTTGCCTAGGTTCTATTCACAACCTAAGAACTCCTGAGCTAGACACTGGGGTAGGGATACAAAACTAAAGCATAAAACACTCCCTGCCCCTGGGGAGCTTACATTATACTCCAGGGAAACTATATGTATACAGATAAGTCAATGCAAAGTATGCACAAAGTAAGTATTAACAATTGGAGACCTAGTTCATCCCATTTTTTGTTTATTTGTTTTGGGAAGCAATAAGGGTTAAGTGACTAGCCCAGGGTCACACAACTAGTAAGTGTCCAGTATCTGAGACCAGATTTGAACTCAGGTCTTCCTGATCTCCAGAGCTAGTGCTCTATCCACTATGCCACCCAGCTGCCCCCTCATCTCATTTTAAGACCCAAGGTGAGATCCTCTATCTTTGCTTTGGGTATGGGGGGAGGGAAGGAAGGAAGGAGGTAGAGAAACAATATAAGCTCTTCCCAAGTTCCAAATCAACCCATTTCCCTGTGGCCTTTTGCTGTATAATAGCTAAACAGGGTCACTTGAAATGATCCCTAAGATTTTCATCCAGAGCTTCTTTTGTGTTAGTTAAGATATCCTCAAAGGAGGAAAGCAAAAATGCTCAAGGTCTTGGTTCACGGCCAGCAGAACAGATACTGCTTTCTGCAGCTAGCTGGTGGGGGATGGCAGGGGCACAACATACAATAAGTCATGACACTGCCAACAGTTGTTTAGGTGTGTGACTCAGCTGATGCCATGGGGCTGATGATATGGCAGCTGGAAAAGCACCAGCCGCAATGGCAAGGAGGCAGATTTACAAGGAAATCATTTTGCACTGGCCTCGGTTTCCTCCTCTGTAGAAAGGAGAGGGTAGCACTGATTCTGAGGCCTAGCTCTCAATCCTACGATCCTATAAGTTTCCTTAAACAACAACAACAACCTGCCAAGGAACTAGAAAAACCATAAGTTCCTACCATATGGAAGCAGGAAAAATATATTCATCCTGGAAAGGTAGACATTTTTTCAGATGTCCATGGCAACATTACAGGGTACCTTGCCAGAACCACTGAAGTTGGCATAGATGGGCCTCTGGGCCTTAGTAGGGCTATTAAGACAATTATCAACACTCTTCAGTGGCTTAACCAATCTACAAATTTGCCTTTCCTTTCCCCATTGCAGATATAACCAAAATATAGCTACCATAGGGGCATATTATTTTGAGCTATCATTAAAGGTGAAAAAAATAATAATAACCGAAGGTTAGAAAATTCAAAATACCTTAAGATAAGTATTTATCTGAGAACTAAAGTTAGGGTGGAAGCTCTTTGAGGGCAGAGACTTTTTTTTTCTGGTCTTTGTATGCCCCAGAATAGTGCCAGCCACATAATGGGTGTTTAATAGATGCTAGTTGAATTGAGTTGAATTGAGTAGTAAACAAGACTGAAGATGAACTCAGTGCAAATCCCTTCAGTGGAAAATTACCCCAATGGCATGTTTCCCAAGGCAGTCCAAACAAGAAGCAGTGGCTAGGTGGGACTGGATTTAATGCAGCATTCAATTGTAAAGTATTAGGATTACCAGAGCATGTTTTTAATTTGGGTTTTCAATACTGCAAATTATGGAAGGATGAGAAGGAAAGCAATCAAAATACTGTCTTACCTCCTACTGGGTATATCAAACAACTGTCAGAAATGAGGCTTGACTGCAAAGGAAGTTACTGGAGCAAAGATAGCAACATTTGCTGATACCAGAAATCATGCAGAAAATGACAACTTTTCAAACTTTATGGCTAATAAACAACGACATTCTTAAGAGTTGAGCTCACGAGGGGTGTTAAGAGGGCAAGCCTCGTTTGACATTTTCGTTGCAAGTAACATATGATCAACTAACGGACAGTCTGGAAAGCACATGCCACGCAAGACGATACTGAAATATACCTGTTGGGAGAAGCCACAGAAGAACTGGTACAAAAATTGCGGTAGGATAAAACAGAGGTTCTGAAAAACAAAATTAAAAATTGAGTGAGGAGAGAAGCATTTGCCCTCTTTCTGTTTGATCTCTAGGCCTACGAACCATCTCTAGTCCCAGTATTCAATATTTTAACAGTATCATACTGAAACAGTTTGATAGCAAGAGACAAATCCACAATCAAACTAGCTCCCGGATCTCAGTGGAGCTTCTCGAAAGGCCAAAGGTCGGTGACTTCTTTTCAATGAGTCAGGTTGCTACAAATGTATGATGATAATGTATCTCCTGACATATTATTTTGGAGCGATGCCCATGGCCCAGGGGTTAAGTGATTTGTCCACGGCCATACAGCTATAAAGTGTCAAGAGGCAGATTTCAAATACAGTTATCCCTTCCACATGGTAAAGGTTAGGGGCACAGTGCCCTCCCCCCATGCCAACCTGGAAAATTTACGTAAAACTGTTTGGCCCTCCCTTCATCCCAGAGAAGAAGTCTGAATTATGGCATCAAAAGATAAAATGTTGGTATTATACAATACTATTCACATATTTTATGCATTTCTGAGTTTCTAAACTTTTCTGTGTCATCATGTTGCATGTTGTCTGAGGCTTTTGCAAAACTCCCAAAAAATGCCCATTTAATTTCTTATGCCAATTCGCAACATATCAAAACCGCAATGGGGGAAGTACAACTCTGAATCTTCCTTCCTCTGAGTCTAGCATTCAATCCATTACAATACTCTCTCTAAGAGTGGTCTTGCTTCATTCAGACTAAATCCTGTTTACATTCTAGGGAAGAAATGGGTTTATGCCAAAAAAATAGCACTACTGGGCATTCCCTGACCACAGGAAAATGGCGCTAGACTCTACAAATAACCATAAAAGGCGTGGATTGCAAATGGAGATGTTAGTGCCAAAACCAAAGAATGGAAGTAAGGTGAGTCTTTTGGACACTGTGATTTTCACTCTGATGTCTTACTGGTCTCGTTAACCCACTGATTATAGTACCTGAGAGAGGGGGTAGAGAGTTCATGAACTTGGAGTTAGGAAGATCTGGGGTCAAATTCAGCCTCTGACATATTAGTTGTGTGACCAAGTCACCTCACGTTTCAGTGCCCCAGGAAGAAGAACATGTGCTTGATTCCTGGTCTGGCCTGGGATCTGAGGGCCTGGTCTTGGATGAGATTTGTGGTAGGGAGAAGCCTGCAGTCTGAGTTTTTAGTCTTGGTGGAAAAAGGCCAGATACCTGGGTGCCCAGGTTAAAGTGATTTGCAAATTTGCATGTTGGTTAAGCCACTGAAGGGTGTTGGCAGTTGTTTTGGGGAGCCCCCCTAAAATTTGGATCACTTGTTGAAATAGGAGAGAGCAATTAATACCAGGTTCTGGTGACAGGAGATTTCCAAATTCCATCCATCTCGGGCAGGTTAGGGGCCAAAGCCCTACTAGTTGAGATCCAATGATGCTGAACACAAGAGGCCAGGTGTCGGCAGCAGCTCTGACCCACTGGGCACATGCTGGGAAGGGATGACTTCAGAGTTGCAGAGACAAAGAACAAAGCACTAATGGCCTCCAGGACAGGCAGTGGGTTCCAGGGTAGGGAAGACTTCAGATCCAGTGACTGGGAGAGATGAGGGCTGGAGTACCCACCTGCACCAGTCAGGTAAAGGCAGCTCCACTACCCTCAAGTACAGCCCACGGCTCTGATAAGAATAACACTCGATACTCTGATTTTCCGAATCAATACTAATACTATTCCCCAGACTAACCAAACAGTCTTCTCCTCTGAACTTTGTTTCAAATTTCCTGTAATTTTCAAAGAATGGAATCCATTCACAAATCTTTGGATTGACCACAAACAAGGGTAATAGTAACAGCATATATTGTAGGTTTTAAGATAATTCCCAAAAAGTAGTCTCAAAATTGTTTTAGGCAACATTACTGAAATATACAAAATGCCCAAATATATGGCATTGTGGAGGCCTGGGTTCAAGTCCTACCTCCAACATATCCTGGGCAAATCACTTACATTCTGAGTGGTCTAGGCAGCAATCTAAGACTAGAAATTGCAGAGAAGGCGCTGACCTGCACAGGCAGAGGGAGTTTCCTGGGAGTTTTCTTTATTAAGGGAATCATATGTTCAGTCCCTATACTTTGATGGCGGTGGGGGTGGGAACTGAAATAGGTAGGTAGAAAGATGATATAGATGAGAGTGACATATGTAAATTAGATAGGGAGGTAGGTGAGATAGAGAGATAGAGATAATAGATATTGAGATAGCGTGAGGTTGAGATAGATCAGTAGGAAGGTGATATATAGATCAGAGACAGAGAGAAATTAGGGAGGTGGGCAAAATAGATAGATACACATAGATAGACACATGAACATACATGTGTGAATATGTAGGACACACACATTTATTCCACTATTTCACTCAGTCTATCTTTTAACATTTTCATTAATATAGGTATTCCTTCCAATGATCCAGATCACAATCCATCCTCACTTGCTCATCCTGTGGGCCTCTCATCCATGGACTCCCTCCCATAAGTAAGTTCATCTCACTAGTCTTCATTCTTCCTGACTGTACATGTGACTAGGCCATTTGCTTTTTGAATTATATATTTCTCTAGTAATATCTGTGACTGGTTCTCCTTGTGCTTCCTGAGGATAATGGTCTTTGAAAAAGTGATATCAAGGATCCCTCATACAAGTGGCAACAGACAGAAGCATGGTGTGTATGAGAATGGAGTGTTTCATGACTTAACGGTCATACGATATTACCAAAAGAATTCTGGCATTAAAAAGCTGGGCCTCAGTTTCGTGGAAAAGGCTATTGAAAGAACTTTCAGTTGCCCAAAGGCAACCCATCACACTCTCTTACTCCTATTCCATTCATTTGTGGTGTCTGTCCAAGACACGTTAATTGATGGACAAACTCTATGGGCTTGTCCAACTAAACATCACACTGCCCTTTCTTTGTCTTGTGTGGACAGTTAAGCTAAAAATTTTTGAGTGCCTATGGATCTCATTCAGGAGGTTCGGCAATGTTCCAAGGTTTGATGCGATCAGCATGATGTCAAGCACAAGCAGATGGGGGTGGGGCCCCCGAGGTGCTTGACCATCCATGGGAACACCTTCTTTGATGTCGGAGAGCAATCCAATATATACGCCTCCCCATTGTATTGCCTCTCCTTATATTAATGACCAGAAAGCCATCAAACAAGGATATTTCCACTATTTTATCTTTCTAGGAATCCTGCCCAGTTTTGACATATATAGTCAATAGGAACACCTACAGTCATGATGAGGCATCAGAGGAGGATGTTACTGGGGCTAGGTGTGCTGTGTTCTAACTTGTCCATTTGGCATATTTAAGTTTCTTCTCCTCTTAAAGCAGGTAGCTGACAAGCCAATTTTTTTTTAATGATCTATTTCCTTTTTTTTTTTCAAAGGCAATTGGGGTTAAGTGACTTGCCCAGGGACACACAGCTAGTAAGTGTCAAGTGTTTGGTCTGAGGCCGGATTTGAACTCAGGTCCTCCTGACTTCAGGGCTGGTGCTCTATCCACTGTGCCACCTAGCTGCCCCGACAAGCCAATTTTTTATTTTAAATAAGTAGTCCTATATTTTGGCACAAAGGATAGAGAGCCAGCCTTGGAGTCAAGAAGACCTGGGCTCAAGTCTCACCTCCGACACATGCTGGCTGTATGACCTTAGAGTCAAGTCACTTAACCTCTCAGAGCCCCCAGGTGGCTCCCGAAAACCCTGAGTTGCAGAACAGGTACTGCTCTGCACTGGGAAAGGGACCTTCTACACTGGGAGCTCACTAAACTTATGACTCCGGGACTAGATTAAAATGTCATTGGGTAATGTTTAACAAAATAAATGAAAACACAATATGGCACAGATAATGTTAATTTGTGGTTTTCTAAGTCAATATGGGCCTCCTTTCATTTTGACTACTGCCCAAAACCAATGAAATTCAGGCTCAGACTAAATAATAAATTAATAGACTTGAACAGAGATATTCTCTTTCATCTCTTCCTGAAAAGAAAGAACTTTAGCTCTTAATTCTGGGCCTTACAACAGAGCACTACCACACAACTACTTGGTACTTCATGGTACCAAGACTCGGATGGCTGGCCAAAGTTTCAACTCTAGTCAATTCAATCCTATTTTCAGGGACAAAAATATCACAAGAGTACAGCTCTGACCCATTTCCTTGTGCAGCAGAGAGGTCAGTCAGGTACCATATGCACCCAATATGGCCTTCAGGACCATGGTGAGAGTCAGAATAATGGCCCATGAGTATGATCCAATATAGCCATTTTTATGTTATTAGAAGTCAACAAAAAAGAAAAACCAAGGTGCGCAATGCAATGATGTTTTTCCCTCAAACTCTTTCTCGAGGGACACAATCCTTTTTCATTCCTTCACCAATGCTATCAATTCTGTTGTTTTGTTTGCTGGTAGGGGAAGACAAAAGACCAGGCAGCAGGATTTATGTTGGCTAGAGCACCAGCTCCTGTCTATCCAGGGAAGAAAAATGACCACATTCATGAATTAGAGCCCTGTTTACACCGATATTCTCAAGGTTAATCATTTGTCTATTATGATTAAAGCCATCAGAGTGTCAGAGCGGTACACCTTGAATTTTGCAGCAGAGCAATGAGAGTAATTAGAATTTGGGGACACTAATACCTGTGATCAACACACAAAGGTCCTATTTAAATGGGCAGATTGATGGATCACTTGGCAAACATTTATTAAGTCTCTTGTTGAGTTACTCTGCTATGTGAATTTGCTGAATTCCTCTCTCCCCCCACCTCAATGTCTGCCATGACAGAGATAAGGTCTAAACAGGATAAAGCAGAATATCTTGGATCGCTTGCTAGTAACACTATAAACAAACTGAATGTCCAGTCTCTGGCTTCTGCTCCATTAGTGAGCCCCACTGAACATTATTTGTTATTGCAAAGCTGAGTAAAGAGTCCAGCAAAAAGTGCAAACAGCCTATACTTAACAGACGTAGGCAGCCGAAATATATTTTGAGTCAAACCTCTGCCCGGCCCGAAAGATAAAGGTGCTCTAAACATGTCCAGATAAATGACAAACACCTGCCCACATACCTTATAGAAGAAATACTGCACTAGGTGTGCAATTCTCACGTAGTATAAATGCCCATGGGCCAGCAGCAATTTCCTTAAGTGCTTAAATTTGGGAACCGCGTAATCACTGTTTCTTGCAGCCTGGCGACCTTCTTTGCCTTTGATGCCTTTAAAAAACAACAGGTGATTGCCAAGCAGTAAATATTTTGCAGAACATCAAGCTATTGATTTGGGCATTTAGTATGTCAAAATCAATGGCTACATTTTATGCCCTTGTTTCCGAGTTTAGCTTCTTCTTTGCATCCCTTCTTTGTCTGACCTCATGATTGAATAATGGCATGGAAGCTAAGCAGGAAAGCCATGAGCTCAGTTAATTTGTTTTTAACTACATGCGTCTAACATGATGTAAAACCAAAGAAAATAATTTATTTGATGAGTCGGGTCACCTCAGAAATAACAAACCGTTAATAACCACAGCTCACATTGATAGAATACATTCAAGTTTCTATTCCACACTACAACCTTGTGAGGTTGTTGGTTCAAGGGTTATTAGCTCCATTTCTCAGATGAGGAAACTGAGGCTCAGAAGGTGACACTCCCGGGTGGAAAAGAGAAGAAGCCTGAGATCATCTAAGGAGTTGGGAGGGAATGTATCTGTGAGCTCTTGGAGTTATGGATCTGCTCATGGTGGCACTTAGAACTTAAACCCTGTCCTAGTCCAAGACCCTTTCCACTAGACCAGCAGTCCTCAAAGTGTGGTCCAAGGATCCCTGAGGGTCCCCAAGACACTTTAAGGGGATCCAGAAGATAAAAACTATTTTCATTATTATTGTTGTTCAGTTATTCAATCATGTCCAACTCTAACCCCATGGACCATACTGTCCATGGCGTTTTTTTGGCAAAGATACTAGAGTGATTTGCCATTTCCTTCTCCAGATTTTCATGATACCAAGACTTTATCTCCTATTAAAATACTCCTCGATTTTACAACTAATTCTCTTCACCTGCTTCAAATTCTCTTCATATACTTCAACCAAAACATATTGTAACAGAATGACTGCAAAAACAGATTATGAGAATCCAGCTGTGTTCTTCTATTAAGCCAGACATTAGAGATTTTCAGGAACATTAAAACAATGCCACTCTTCACGCTAATTTTTTAAACCACAGATTTTTATTTTCATAAAAATACATTATTTATGTTCACATGTAAGGGATTCATTATTGTCCTTTTCAATGAATTAATAAATATTTTTAAAATTCATTTTGATAACTAATAAGCATCTACTATGTGTCAGACACTGTGCTAAGCACTTTACAATATTATCTCATTTTAATCTTGAGAAGTAGGTGAGGAATCTGAGGCACACACAGGTTAAGTGACTTGTCCAGGATCACTGAGCTAGTAAGTGTCTGAGATCAGATCTGAAATGAGGTCTTCCAGATTCCTGATCCAGTGTTCTATCCATTTCTGTCCATTTATTAGTTGATTCCTAATATGGCAAATATCAATAGATATATTACACATAAACAAAATCATTTTGGGGGGGGCGAGGGGTACGCAGGGGAGTCTTCAATAATTTTTAGGATTGTAAAGAGGTCATGACACCAAAAAGCTTTTGAAGCACTAATTATAAGATATACAATTCCTCACCTGTCTTCTAGAAACCTTCTTTTTCCTTTCAAGGCTCACCTCAGGCATTACCTCCTACAGGGTACTACCCCCACCCAAAATCCTCAAGTTTCTAGTGCTGCCAATTTCCTCAATTTTGCCTTGACTTAGCTATGCACATACTATATCCTCCCCTAGAATGTAAGCCCCTTGAGGGCAGGGACCAGCTTTCATTTTTGCCTTTGTATCTCTACTACAGTGGTAAGTGCTTAGTAAATGCTTCTGAATGGAGGGAGAGACAAAAGAAGAGAAGAGTTAAGCCAGAAAATCCCTAGATACAAAAAAAAAATTGAAACCTTGTCATCAAAATGAAAGCATTATTAATTAAATACCTTCTTGTCTATAGTACTCCATTAGGCCTTCTCAGAGTGAGCTATCCAGAGTTTATAGCTCTAAGGGGTCTTCAATCTTAAGGCCAAATGCAAGGATAGGCAATGACCTTATTACTCACTCATCACAGGATCTGGCAGTATGGGGCAGTGAATAGAGCACTGGGTAAAGCATACCTCCTGCCCTCCAGGGCAAAGGGGTGGTAGGTGAGCACTGAGGCATAGACTGGCTCATATGGCCAATGTGTTGCTTTGATTTGCTTAAATTTGTCTTTGTTATAAGGGGAAATTTTACTTAGGGTAAGGAGGGAAGTCTTTAGAACATTAATAAACAGATTTTTAAAAGTTTTTTAAAGAAAGTAAGATCAGCCTTGGCATCAGAAGGCCTGGGTTGGAATCCTAGCTCTGCTATTTGGGCAAGTCCCAACCAAGAGACTCAGTTTCCTCATCTCTGAATGGGAATAACAATGCTTGTATTACCCATCTCACAGGGTTGGAAGGATCATTTGAGGTGTCACTTGGGAAATACTTGGTAAAGCATTACATAATCTGTGTTATATCGTTATCATCATCATTATTGTTATTATTAGCAATAAAAACAGTAAGAATTATTACCATTACATGAACCGCAAGGAAAAAGAAAAATAAAGGATTTATATGCAAAAAAAAAACTATGATAATTTTTGTCTGTTTTTAGATGGAGGAAGTGATACAAAAAATCTCTGAGGAATCCCCACTAAATATGAAAGCAAAGGGGGAGGGAGCAGCTGGGTCAATGTCATTTCCTCCTAGTATGAAAGCCAACAGAGCCAGAAGGAGTATCTCTTACAGTGAAATATTCCAGTTGATTTTAAGGGCCCCAGCCAGCATCAACTCTGGGCCAAACTGGGAAATGGGGGCAGTTTTTCTTCATCTCTTCTACTGACAGCTTCTGGGCAGACAGCCTGCAGGCAGTTAGGCCAGGCCCTTCCTATACACCACCACCCCACCCCCCAACATACAATCTCCTGGAGAAAAATCAATTAAGACTTGTTTGAACACCCCTTCAAGGTTGCAAACCACCAATTCAATTAGTGATGACTTAAGACCTCTACCCTAGAAACTCCACAGAGTCAGTGATATTAAAAGTAGTCGTGGGAATGCTTAACAGAGAGAACATAGGATAGGACTCACCTATTCCCACATGGGACTCCAAGATCATGCTAACATCATTAGCACCATCACCAATGGAGAGAGTGATTGGGCTGCCCTTAATATTCTTCACCATTTTTACGATCTAAAGTATTACAGAGAAGAGAGAGATAAAGGGCAAACCCACATTTTCTTTTTTTCTTCCCCCCCCTCCGCCCCGGTTAATAGTATTTTCTTTTTTTCCAATTACGTGTAAAGATAGTTTTCAACATTCACTTTTATAAGATTTTGATTTCCAAAACAGCAAGCAATCTGATATAGGTTATAGGTACAATCATGTTAATATGATTAGGTAAAATCACATGGTATAGGCACAATCATATTAACTATATTTCCACATTCATCAGTCCTGCATTTTACACACATTAACTAAGAACCTCCCGACAAAGGAGTAGTTTGTGCCCACACCTGGCCATTTCTAATTTTCAGGTGTAGATTTTCGAGTTGGTTAGAAAGGCCCCTCTGAAATCCATCCTTGGCTCTATGTATGTAAGAACTGTCCCAGTCATCAAACTTTGGATCTGGCATAGATATTAATGCTTTTTCTTGTTGTACAGATGGTTTTTTTTCTTGGTTTCATGGATGGTTTGTGAACTGTATCACTAAAAGAATACTCATTTCTATTAGACTGGAACTCCATGGGAGAATTCCATGGGAGTGAATAACTGAGTTCATGGATTGCAAAGACAAAACTCACTGGGTAGTTCCTCTTTGGGAAGACATAGAAAAGAAGCACCCAGGATGAGAAGACATAGATGGGTCATGACCTATACCAGGGAAGGGAGAGAGGGAAGGAGAGCACACATTGAAGAATCCAAATCTGAATGTGTGATTTTGGATTAATAAGAGGCAACCTATGGCTTGCATGGCCGAGGTAGCATCCGAGATCGTTTGGAATGGGTCAGCTGAGAGCCAACCATGGCCAAAATTGGGAAATAGGCGAGCCCTTTTCATCCTGTGGGTAGTTAATTGTCCCTCATCCCTACAAGTCTCTCTCCCCTCATGTCTGCTTCCTGCTTCCCTTCAAGTCCCAGTAAAAATCCCACCTTCCACAGAAAGACTTTCTCAACCGCCCTTAATTCTAGTTTTCTCTCCAGTTCACTCTCTCTATACCTCGTTCATACATAGTTGTTTGAATAGCCATTCTAGGGATGAGGGACAAAAATAATAAAGTGTTAATAGATCACATCGTACTTGGGGGAGTAGAAGATGCAACTCCTAGTGACAAGACCTCTATCCAGGAGCAAATAGAAAATCCTTTGTTTGGTGTTCTGCTGTTCCCCCTTCCTTTCCATTGTTCTTACATCTTCTACTCCCCCAAGTACAATGTGATCCATTAAAACTGGTCTCCTTGCCATTCCTCAAATAGGACACTCTGTCTCCAATGCAAGGCCTTTTTCCTGGCTGTCCTTCACCCTAGAATTCTCTCTCCCCTCGTCTCTGCCTCCTGTTTTCCGTCAAGTCCCAGCAAAAATACCATCTTCAGAGGCAGCTAGGTGGCGCAGTGGATAGAGCACCGGCCCTGAAGTCAGGAGGACCTGAGTTCAAATCCAGCCTCAGACCAAACATTTGACACTTACTAGCTGTGTGACCCTGGGCAAGTCACTTAACCCCAATTGCCTAAAAAATAATTTTTTTAAAAAATCCCACTTTCAACAGAAAGACTTTCTCAATCACCCTTAATTCTAGCTTTTTCTCTAGTTCACTCTCTCTATATCTCGTTCGTACATAGTTGTTTGGATAGCCGTTTCCCCCATTAGACAGTGAGCTCCTTGAACACAGGGACTCCATTTCCTTTTCTTGGACACTTAATAAATGTTTATTAATTGATTGGCTCAGGTATACATTCTCTGCTCTTCTTCTCACCTGGCTTATAAACCAATTTTTGTTAACAAAGCATGAAGGAATTACTTGATACCTTTCGCAGTATCACCCCTCCCAAAGGTAATTTACATTTAGAAAAGGAATTCTTCAAGGCTACAGAAGGAAACATGAAGGTGGGTTAGATAGAAGAAGGGGTCAGGAGAAGAGTCCCTCCCATGGGCTTGTCCCCATTCTCTGGATCAGCTTACTGCAAAGTCGTTGGGAAATGGTCTGTAAGATGTTTCCAATAGGGCCTAGCGCAATACCTCACACTAAGTAAGTGCCCAAGAAATCTGCATTGGGTTTATGAGTCTACCTCAGGCAACAACAGTGACATCCCATGAAAGCAAAGACCACATCCCAGTTCCCCAGACCCCTCTTTCATCACTTGCTCAGAGGGAAGAAAACAAATGACAACATGTCAGGGCACCTCTAAGAAGATGCCAAACCCTGATTTCGATAGGAAGGGCCTGAATTTTGGACCCCTTCCTCAAATACTACTAAGTTTGGTTATTTCTGACTCGTTGAAATAACTCAGCAGCTAAAGGGTACTTTTAAGACTTGGTCTCCATGATTTCTCTGGTTGATTAATATAAATGAAATCAGTTCTCTCTAGATCTGGAGGGATAAGGAATCATTTGTACAGGGCTGAGACTGGCTGCAACCTTAATTTTGACCCAAATTTAATGGTTTCACTGATACTAAGTGGCACATACAACCCCATTCAATCACAATTAAGACATGAACTCTGTGAACATGAACTGAGAAGTGTGCCTCCCATTCAGCCCCACCTACCCCTCCACTCCCTGACACTTGCTGTTTTTTAAATGGCTCTGAGCTTCAGACAGCCAGTGATTTCATCAGTTCTGTTAATTGAAAGTTCAGACTTTGGAGGAGAAAATAGGATATGAGAAGTGAACAGCTGACTACATAAATAACATGATAGAACAGAATCTGGTTTTCTAGACCATGGGATAAGGTAGGGGAATGAGAGACTCCTACCGCATATCTGAGGAGAATGCAGGATATGTTTACCAGTCTGATCAAGACAGTCTTAAAGTGAAAAGAGAGGAGAGAGAAAAGTGCTCAGATGCTATAAAGGCCAGCTATGTGGAAAAAAAAATAATATTGAAAAAGGTAGCAAATAATCCTCAGGGGAAGATAACTGGGAAGAAGGTTAGGAACAACACTTGTGGCCTGAGATATCTGTAGACGGATGCCACCTAATTAATTAGATCTGTGAAAATATAAACAGAGGCAAAATAACATTATGGGGCGGCTAGCGTGAGTCATCATTTACAAACTGAGCTGTGCCTTGGTCGACTAGTCAGGGGAGACTACAGAGGGATTCTGTAGAATTATGGTGGAAATTGATTATAATGCAACATTATATGGAGTATATCTATACATCCCAGCCAAGAGTATGAGTCAAAAACAAAGGTAAATTCAACTTCAAAAGTTACACTGAAATGTAGAATAAAAATTACAACTGAAATGACAATGGAAGGGCATGTCTTGTTTGAAAGAAACAGTTCTAAGAGATGGGGTACCAGAAGGGCAAAGTCTATCAAATAAGGTAAGTGCCTAAATGGAAATCTTCAAGCCAGGATGCGTAAGCAAGTGCTGGTGGAGAGCTCTGGAGGGAAGATAAAAGGAGAGAAAAGCAGAGGCAATGAATGGTGACACAAAAAAAATAATTAGGAAAAAATTTTTAAAGGCAAATTTGGAGCAATACAAGTGAGGGGCTTCTGTTTTCCAAGAAAAATGATCATTGTATGGGAAAAAAGTAGAAAAAATGGTTAGCAGGGAGGTGAAGACAGCCCTCCCTCACTTCAATCCAATTCGCTGATGTCACAGTCCTCTTCAAGAGAAACAACAACAACAAGGCAGGTGAAGAGGCAGTGTGTTGGAGAGCAGAGTTCTGGCGGGGGCCTTTGGCCAGAACCAAATTAAAAAGTATTGGGGAAATGTTTAACAAAATAACTAAAAATGCAACACAACATAGATGATGTGAATTTGTATTTTTCTAAGTCACAGCACCCACAGGCATCCATTTCTATTTGAGTTTGACAGCAAAACGGTGTACAAGACAGGACACTGGATTTAGTTGGCACATAGTTGGTAAATTATAAACACTTGTTGATGGATTGGGCCTTGAGTTGGGAAGACCTGGGTTCAAATTCTGCCTGAAATACTTACCAGCTGTGACCTTGGGCAAGTTGCTTAACCTCTCTGTGCCTCAGTTTCCTCCTCTGCAAAATGAGGCAGTTGAACTCAATAGACTCTAAGGTCCTTAAGTGAAGAGTTTGGCCTCAAGTCAAAAACAAAAAAAGGACAAGCCTGAAATGAGGATTAATATCTGAGAATAACTTCAACTCTGACCATCAGGCTTAGCATGGAAAAGCTCACTAATGACCAGCGTAGGGTTGAAGGCTTGTACCAGATATTTGAATTACTGGTGGTAAAAATGAACAGAAGGTTTGCCATGCTGTGGTGAGGGCCCAAAAGATGTTATGTAGTGTGTACCATACCAGGAAGAACAGAGAAGGCAGAGGGTACAGGTAATAAAGAAGAATAAGGGAACAAGGAATTCAAAAGTGGAGGATGGTGTCTTCTTATGTTGGCTAAGAGAGGGAAGGGGTGGAAGGGGAGGGGGAATAATTATATGGCACCTATTATGTATTGGGCACTTTACTTAGTGCTTTACAAATATTGCTTCATTTGATCTTGACCACAACCCTTTGAGGTAGGTGCTGTTATTCCCATTTTATTGGAGAAACTGAGGCACTTAGGTCATGTGACTTGCCCAGGATCACTCAACTAGTGAGTGTCTGAGACTGGATTTGAAGTCACATCTTCCTGACTCCAGGCCCAGTGTTCTACCCACATTGCCCCACCAGCTTCCTGAAAAGGCCTGAATAGCAGCAATGGACTCAGAGAACAGGAAAGGAATGGAAGGTCTGCAGCTCACAGCGAGGACAAAGAACAGGTTCAGGAAGAATAGTATGGAAGGACAGGAGACTGTGACCAGAGGGAAATTTAGAGTTGCCATCATAGTGGCAGACTAGTTTTAGGCTCTGGTGAGGCAGAAAGAACAGCCACCCCAGGGGGTGACTAGAGAAGGAGGCCATGAAACACGGTGGCAAACTGGCAGAGGCTGATTTTACGAAGGACCTCAGCAAGAATCCTAAAGTCACTAAGGATAAGGGCAGGGGATGGGGTGGATGTGATTGAAATATTAAAAGAACTTCTGACAGCTGTTGAAGTGGAGGCCCACCCTGTTCAGGGAGAGATTGTGAAATGTTAGCAGATGACAGCTAGTTAGAAGCAGCTGGTGGAGCAGTGGCGAGACTGCTGGGGCTGAAGTCAGGAAGCTCTGAGGTCAAATCTGGCCTCAGATATTCACTAGCTGGGTGACCCTGGCCAAGTCACTTAACCTCTGCTTGCTTCAGTTTCCTCATCTGCAAAATGGGGACAACAATAGCCCCTACCTCCCAGGGTTGTTGTGAGGATCAAATGAGAGAATATTTGTTAAGTGCCTAGCACATAGTAGGTGTTATATCAATGTTAGTTATTATCATTATTGTTATTATTATTACTACGGCAGAGGAAACAGACCCATTTTACCTCCCTTTATGTTTGTCTCCTCTGACAAGGAGAATGGCCTTTAAACTGGTCAAGATGACAGAAACATGGCAAAGAGGGAAGTAGACCAAAAAATTCAACAACGCAAACAAAATGGATCTTTGACAGCTTATGATCCTCCTTAAGAGCTCCTGCTATCCTTTGCCCAGTTATGGTGAGAGCCCAAAGCAAGACAAATTGGAGCTAGAAATCGTGGCAAGAGACACACATGGGAAAGATCAAGGACTCCCGCTGCCACGAGACAGTGCAGCTTAAGAAGATTAGGGCACTTTCTGTCCACAGCACAATGTCAGAAAAATCACCAAGGCTGTGGCAAGGGAACCCAGAATCCACAAACCCCAGCAGTAAGGGACTTTCTCTCAAGCCAAGAAGACACTTTCAAAATACAAATCAATTCAATCTACCAAGACTTTATATACAGCAGCTACTAGGAGCAAGGCCCTATGCTAGGCAGTGAAAAAGAAATAACAATGCAGAAGAGGGTGAAGTCCCCTCGTTCAAGAAACTTACAAGTCACATGACCTCAGTCTGCCTCAGTTTCTCTAATTAAATGGGAATAATAACAAAGCCTACCTTGAAGGGTCGTGGTCAAGGTCAGATGAAGCAATATTTGTAAAGTATTAAGCAAAGTGCCCGACACATAGTAGGGGCCATATAAATATTTATTCCCTTTCTATTTTGCCACGAGTTCCTCCTTCCTTCCCCCCTTTACTTGAGTATCTGATGAAGGGATGACTCTTCTCTTTGTCAAGACCCACCCCCCCATATAAGGATCCTTGAGCTCATCTTTTTGCTTCTTGATTGCCCCCCCAAATTAGCCTCCCCACTTTCTTCTCTACCCATCCTTCCATCTCTCCCTATCTACAGGCTCCTTCCTTGATGCCTAGAAACATGTACATGCCTTTGCTCCCCCACCCTTAAAACCCCATCCCTGTTATAAAGGTGGCTACACACTAATTATTTTGGAAATGAAAGGCATATAGCACTTTGGAACTAAAGTCGAATATTATTATGGGATGTGTGTTGTTAACACCGTTTATGTGAGGTTTTGCTTGATTGTAAATTACCTTGAGACTTAATTGGACCCTAACATCATCCTACATCTCTCCTCCCTTTCTCTTTTTTTCTTTTTTTGTTTTTGTTTGGCAATGGGGTTAAGTGATTTGCCTGGGGTCACACAGCTAATAAGTGTCTAAGGCCAGATTTGAACTCAGGTCCTCCTGACTCCAGGGCTGGTGCTCTATCCACTGTACCACCTCATTGCTCCTCCCTTTCTTGGCCAAACTCTACAGAAAAGCTGCCTCCAGCCAGTATTTTTACTCCCTCTGTTCTTGCTCTCTTCTAAATCCTTGACAATCTGTATTTGAGCTTCATCATTCAACTAAACACGCCCTTTCCAGACTCACCAATGATCTCTTAATTACCAATCTGATGACCTTTTCTTAGTCTTCATCCTTCTTGACCTTTTTGCAGCAGTTGACACTGTCAATCCCTTTCTCCTCCTAGACACTCTCCTCTCTCCCACATACATATGTCTGTATATGTATGTGTTATCTATCTGCCCTGGCTAACACAGTAAGCTCCAAGAGGCAAGCTGTTTCCACTTTTGTCTCAGCACCAAGCACGGTGTCAGCCACACAAAAGGTGCCTGATAAAATGCTTGACTGAGTGACTGAATTCAGTCAGGAACTGAAGACAAAATGGGTGAAAACTCAAATCATTTAAGAGTTGATTTCTCCATAGAAGTTCTTTTAATGCGTCATTGTGGCTTGGAGGTGGCCCCATGGTTGTCAAAGGCAATGCTTATGAATCTCAAGCTCTGGTGGGTCCACTGGCAAAGTACTGAAATGTAGGTGTTAAGTAATAAAACAATAGAGAATATGTCAAGAGAGTAATGATGAATTACTGAAAGAGTGAACTGGAAAACAATCGCTCTGAGTTTCCAGGAGGGACAAGTCAGTGTGAGCTAGAGTGATCTGAGAAGGGAAGGCTTCATGGAGGAATAGGGACTTCAGCTGACCTTGAAAATCAGATTTGAAAAAGCAAAATGAGAGTCTCATGCTCTCATTTTACAGATGAGGAAACTGAGGCCAAAGGTAGTGAAATGATTTGCCCAGGGTCACACAGCTACTGCATATCTATCTGAAACAGGATTTAAACCCAGGTCATCCTGACTTTTGGTCTAACACTCTAACCACAACTACAGTAAAGGGGAGGTCACTCCAAGAACAAGGGGTTAAGAATACAATGAACATTTGAGAAAGAGTCAGAGGCTCAGCTTGACTAGAGCAGAGGGTCACTGTTATACTGTTAGAGAGGAAAGAATGGGGAAGGAGAGGCTGGGACTACGTTATACAATAATAACAAATAATGATAATATTTATATAATGCTTACAATGTGCCAGACACTGTGCTAAGCACTTTATGATCATTATCTTGTTTGATTCTCACAACAATGCTACAAGGTAGGCACCATTATGATCCCCATTTTTACAGATAAAGGAAGTGAGGAAAACAGAAGTTAAGTGACTGGGGAAATGTGAACACAGAAGCAAAGATCTGGAGCAGGCAGGAGGGAATGGTATGTGGGCAAAATGATTAGCCTTAATGAGGGAATGAAGTGAGTGGGTACAGTGGAAAAAGATGAATTTGAAGCCAAAGAGCTGGAGACTTACTAGCTGTATGACCTTAGGCAAGTCACTTCACCTCTGTCTGCCTTAGTTTCCTCAACTGTAAAATGGAGATAATAACATCTACCAAGCAGGGCTGTCATGAGGATTTATTTGCAAAACACTTATCTCAGTGCTATATAAAAGATAATTATTATTATTCTAGTTTTGTTACTTATTAGCTGTATGACCTTGGGCAAGTCACAATACTTCTCTATACTTTGGTTTTCTTATCTGTAAAAATGAAGAAGCTGGCCTAATCTATGAAAAGTACCAATTCTAAGGAGATAGCAGTGGCAATACATAGCAGAAGGGACAAATATAAGAAATATCTGGAAGGAATGGCAGACTTTGGACGGAATCTACGGGGTGAAATCAGAAAGCAGTTTCAGGTCAGAGAGATGGGAAGGATGATGGTACCATTAACAGGAATGCGATTCAACAAACATTTCTTAATCTCCTATGATGTGGAAGGCACAGAGGGTAAGAGAAGTGAAAAATGACAAGGTCTTTTCAACTCAATGTTCTTACAGTCTAAGAGGTGGGGGGAAGGGGCATGAAATGTACAAAAATGATATAAGGGAGAACGTGATAGGAGCAAGAAAGAATCCTGAGAAAGGTGATATCAGGATGACTTTCAACTGGTCCCAGGAGGTGACAGTGCGTGGGGAAGAGAAGTCAAGAAGAGGAGTCAGTTTAGGGGTTAATCAGGGGCTAATATGAATTCAGTCATAGACACAATGAGCTCAGAGCAACAGCACGACATCCAAGTTTGCAGCTAGAGACAAGGTCACAGCCCACAGGAGAGGTCACCACTAGAAATCTGTGTCATCTGCCCAGAGATGATCATTACAGCCATGATACTGGATAAGCCCCATTGAGGGGATTACAGGATTGTGGTCTCACAGCTAGAAGGGACCTCTGAAGTCATCTACTTCAACCCCCTCATTTTACAGGTTAGAAAAACTGAGATCCAAAGACATTGTGACTTGCCCAAGATCACACATGCAGAAATGGCACAGCTACGACTCGATTCCAGGTCTTTGGCACCAAATTCGCTGCTCTTGACTAAGCTTTGGGCAAGCCCATATTTGGGGGCGGGGGGGCAGGAGAGGAAGGCATAAGGGCCAATAATGAAGAAAAAGGAAGAGTGGGGGGGTGATAGGAAAGAACTAGAAGTCAGGAAAAGAGGGGTGTTTCTGGAAGGAAGGTATTTTCAGCAGTGTCAAATGTGGCAGAGAGGTCAATGGGTTACAAAAGCAGAGAAAGGGCCAATGGACTGGGGAAGAAGGAGATCACTGATGTCCCTTGGGAGTAGAGTTTCAGTAAAATACAAATACCAAGTTACAGAGTCATAAGTGGGTGGAAAGGAAAGGGGGAGCAGCAGGAAAAGGTCACTCATTTAAGAAGTTCTGACAATGAAAGGAAGAAGAAGAGAAATTGAGCCATAGCCACACAGGACAGATGAGTGAAGCAAAAAGTTTATTTATTCAAGTTCACATTCAAAGGCAGAGTTGAAAGAGCCAGTGGACAGTGCGAGAGATGAGTGCTGATCATAATTCCTACTGGAAAACTAGGAAGAAAAATGTATTTTCCAGGTGAGATCTGAACTCTTCTTTCCCACTGCACCACCAATGCAGGGCACTAAGAGTTAAGGCTGTTTCCCTGGTCATAATTACCTGTGCTTTCTGTAGAGGGGCCATCCTGCAACAGAGAACAGCAGTGCACTTGATACAGATTTGCATAAAGATGCTTTTGTAATTAGTTGACGTGGACTCTTGGGTAGAATTTAATATAAGTGACAAAGTTGATCCATCGATTATCAATCCATATTCTTGGTGTTCTCCCCACCCTCTAAAACAAAAGAAAAATATATTTGAGCTTATAAAAACTTTACATGTATAATATATACATTTTTGAAAGACCCAAAGGGAAGGTTTGGAGCCCAAGGACATATATGCAGGTGGCCAAAGGGTGAGACTCAGTGAGACGCTATCATGGGTGGAGTGCTATTGGATTGGGTGGAGACCATGCAAGAGGAATTAAAGCAAGGGAAATAAAAACAAAGTAGCCAACTTAAACCAAGAAGGATGTGATTTAGGGAAGGCTGATACTTGGTGAAATGTGGCAGATAAGAAAATGAGTAAATTTGCATTGGGCTCTTATAAGACAGTGGTTTCCCCCTGGACCCTAGGATTTCAAGAGACCACTCTAAGTAGTTCCTTCAATGTGTGGTAATGCCAATTGATATTTCCCAATAGATAATAGTCAAGGAACATAAACCGTTTAAAAAGAAGAAATGCATAGTAACAACAACCATATGAAAAACTGTTTCAAATCACTAGTATTAAGATAAACGCAAATTAAGGCAGCTCTGAGGTTTCACTTCACACTCCTCAAAGGAGAAGATAATAAAAGATAAAAATAATCTGTATCTAAGAGGATGTGGGAAGATAGGCATGTTAATATACTGTTGGTAGAGTTGTCAGATGTTCCAACCATTCTAGAAAACAATTTGGAGTAATTTGAGAAAAGTGGTTAAAACAGTTCATACCCTTTGACCCAGCAATCCCAGTAATGGGTATATACCACAAAGTCACAATCACGAACAAAGGTTTGATTTATACCAAACTGTTCATAGCCACACTTCTCATGGTAGCAATAAATTCGGTGGCCACCATTTAAAGAATGACTGAACAAAGTTATACGTGACAAATATGAGGAATTCAAAGAGACACCGAAGCATTCAGATGAACTGATGCAGAGTAAAGAAAGTGGAACCAGGAGAGCAGTACATACAATGACTACAGTAATGTAAATGAAAATAACATTAAAAAGCAGCTAAGCTTTTAATAGCAATAATGACCAATCTTGATCTTGGAGAATGGACAATGAAACACATCTTCATCATCTCATTACAGAGGGACTATGGATGCAGAATGACATAGGTTCTCAACCACATTTGCTGCCTCAGTGGGTTCCACCCCACTATTTCAATCTATGAGAAAGGTTCAATAGGGGGAAGGGGATTTCTGAAAATAACTGTAAACAGAAAAGATATCAATTAAACTATTTTTAAGTGTAATCATTGATTTGTATCTGATTAATCACTTTTAGGTCCTGCTCAAACCATGCCTCCATTAGAGTAAAATAAATTAAAAATAGCTATAAAAACATTTTTTAAAACCCTTTTGTTCTCTTAATACTGACTATGAATACTGATAAGCATAATGACTTACACCTTTCGCTTCTCTTCTAACTTTGTGAAAATCTAAATCGATTGTATTTTCAGATGGGATAGGGAGGGGCCCACAACCTCTGGCAGGTGGTTTATTAGGGGAGCTACTGGAGTTAGGATGAGTCTCTGAAGGATGAAAAAACAAACAAAGCAAACAAAGAGAACATGAAACTGGCAGCAGAAGTGTGGTTGCCCATCTGCCAGTCTCTTTCCTACTTTCTGATGCTTCTACGTTTGGGGAATCCATATAGCAGCTTCTTATGGTAGTCAGTCAGCAGTTCGTGCAAACGATCTTCTTTTCTGTCACTGTCTCCGATGGTCCGAGTGGTCAGCTCCAAGAGTTCAGTGTTGGTCTGGAAGAGGCGGCAGGCATAGCAGGTAGACTTGGCAGTCTCCATCTTATCCCCAGTGAGCACCCAGACTTTCATACCTGCCTTGTGCAAGGCTTCAATAGTCTCAGCTGCTTGATCCTGAAGCCTAAAAGGAAAAAAAAAATTTCCCCCACCAGATTTTCAGAGTCATTCCCAATGTTAATTTCACAAAACTTATTTTAACCTTGTGATTCACATTTTTTTCCTATCATGAGACTGTACCTTGTTCTGTTTCCTTCCTTTGTATCTTACCACACACACACACACAGACACACACCCCTTTACAACACTACAAGCCATCCATTTATTAAGCAAATTCAAATTATTTGGCTTCCAGAATTAAGGGACAGCCCTTGTGTAATGCTATGGTATAGCCAAACTAGGAGTGACACTCATTGCTCTTAACTCAAATATTTGGAAACTCAGTAAATGCCCATCTTACTGCCATTTTAGCTAATTTCATTAGCTCAGTCTCTCCTGTATTTCTATCTGATCAAAGAAAACAGAGATTGGTGACTTCCATATCATTGAAGAGCACTTCAAGTGTATGATGAGGAAGGATGGAGAATCACCCTTTTTTAGGGAGTTGTAAAAACAGGGTGATTGAATTGAACTATAATCCTGGATGGATGTTAAGACCAGAAGGATAGGGAGCAGAAGAAGAGCAACTAGATGGCTTCTGAAGAACCCCTTCAGCCCCAGGGTTACAAGAATGCTAAATAAAATGTCGTTTTGTTTGAGGAAGGAGGTGTTTTGGACCCGTGAATTCACAAGGGTGAGATATTACCAGTTCTGAAACTCCATCCACCAAAAGAGACTGGCAACTTGCCTGAAATCTATAGCATCTTTGGCATACAATAGATGCTTAATAAATGCCTGTTGACTGATGGAGGGAGCAAACAGTAGAATGAGAATTAACTCAGGAGGCAGAGGCCCTACCTTCAAACCCTCTCACTTTCACTACTACCTGTGTGACCCTTGGCATTGGTTTCCTAGTCTGTAAAATGAGAGATCACATGCCCTCTGAAGTCCATTCCTGCTCCAGAGCTTTGGCCTGGAGCCCTGCAAAAGAATCAACGTCAGTGTGGCACAAGGGAAAGGACTTTGTATTTAAAATCAAGAGGAACTGGTTTGAATCCCAATTCTGCATGACCTTGGACAAGTCATTCTTGCTTCCACATCTGTAAAATGAGGGCTAAATGGCCTCTTCAGCACCCTCTGTCTCTGGGGTCCCTCCCGGAGGGGAGATATCTGGGAACTCCTCAAAGACCTTCTGTTTCAGGAGTACAAACAAGGAATTCACCTCATCATTTCCTACCTGGCTGACCTCATGGATTTCATGACCTCCAGAAAGTCTTTCTGTCAGAAGATATCAACTCTGAAACCCAACCTGCCTCAGATGATTTCCCCTCTGGGCTGCAGGACTTCATTATGCCCCCATGCTGAGTAACCTCCCCCCATACCTTTCACAACTTTTTTTCATGTGTTGTCTTCCCCCATTAGATTGTGGGCTCTTTGAGGGCAGGGACTGTCATATGCTTTTCCTTGTATTCTCCAGTATTTAGTACAGTGCCTAACACATAGTAGGTGCTTACTAAATGTTTATTGACTATTGGCCTCTGAAGTCCTTTCCCATTCTAGACCTATGATCTTATGTGTGACCTTTGCCTGTGGGTAAATGGCTCCCACTCCCTGGGCCTCGGTTTTCTCCTCTGTAAAATGAAGAGGTTAGACCAGATAGTTTCTGAGGGTCTGTCCAGCTCAAAGACCTCGGATCCTCTGACTTGCTCCATTCCCGACAGCTAGTATATATCAGAAGGAGGCCCTGTGCCCAAATCTCCCTGACTCCAAGACCAGTTTCTCTATCTACTTGGCCAGGGTGCCTCGAAGATGAAGAGGATCTTATTAAAATGGAAAGAACCTCCTACTCACCTAAGGGTAGAATCCTCAAAGCCTGAAATGAGGATTAATATCTGAGAATAACTTGGACTCTGCTTAAGCTTCAGCAGGATGAAATGATGAAGCTTATCACATTTCAAAACCATTCCCATGTCTGCTCTGAATATTGACTATTTTGAATAGGAAGGGCTGATGTGGCTGCCTTATAATAAGAAAGAGGGAAAAGTGTGAAGATAGCCAAGAGTCTAAAAAGTCAGCTCTGAGGCAGGATAAACACAAAGCTTGAGGCTCACTCTGGGAGGACTAAAGTCACCTTTAGTAAAATCATCTGCGACTTAAGTAGGTTATATAAAACTGTGGCCAACATGAGAACACGGCTCTTGCTCCATTTCATTAGCCTGGGAGAAGTATTAAAGGGCTGGTGCATTTCTGAGAGGCACTGAAGTATCTGAAGGCAAGGAGACACAGCCTGAAATCCTTCCTCTGAAGCTGACAAGCTTTGTGATCCTAAGCAAGTCGGTGAACCTCTCTGGGCCTTCATTTGTATCTCCATTTGTAAACTACGCATAAACATAGCTATTTTACCTATCTCACAGGACTGTTTGTGAAATTCCAATGGGACAACGTATATAAAGGATGCTGCAAACTTTAAAATGCTATCAAAATATCAGTCTTCCTTATTTCTGTCCTGCCCTTCCCCAACAATATCCATGTAAATCCTTTTCGATCTACACCTGCCACTGCTTCTAAGAAGCCCTTCCTGATTCCTCAGGCCTGAAGTGAGCTCTCCCCTCAGCATGAATTCCTAGAGCACTTTTGAACCTCACTAATGTTGCTTCCCCTATATTGCCTTGCATTGTTATTAGCTGGGGAAATGGCCTGCCTTGGGAGGGAATGGGATCCTTCTCACTGTGGGTGTTCAAGCCAAGGCTACACATTACAAAGGGGATTGAATCTTGATCAGGTACAGGTTGGACTAGCTTAGAGTATCATGAAACCATTGGGTATTAGAGTATATAGGGGGCATCTAGGTGGCTCAGTAGATACAGCACCAGCCCCGGAGTCAGGAGGACCTGAGTTCAAATCTGGCCTCAGACACATGATACTCACTAGCTGTGTGACCCCGGGCAAGTCACTTAACCCCAATTGCCTAGCAAAATGAAAAAGAAAAGAAAAAAAAGGAAAAAAAAGAGCTGATATAAAAATATTAGAGGTATAAAGTCCCTTGAAGGATATCTAGTCTAATTGTAATCTTCCTTCATTTTATAGGAGGAAACTAAGGCTCAGGGATGCTAAATTTAATTCAAGAAATGCTAATTAAGTACTTGGTACATGGTGAGCCCATGTGGGTATACATGGTAGTGGGCCTACATGATGGGCCCATGTGGGTATACGTGGTAGTGGGCCTACATGGTGGGCCCGTATGTGCATATATGGTAGTGGCCTTATATGGTAGACCTGTGCTAGGTGCTGGGGATACAAAGAAAAAACCAAAACCTCTACCAACAACAATTTACATTCTACTGGGGTGAGTGGTACAAGAGAGAGAGAGAGCACTAACAACCAGGGAGATTGAGAGAGGCCTCATATAGGAAGTAGTACCTGAGCTAGGCTTTGAAGGAAATGTGGATTCTCTAGGGGTAGATGTAAAGAGGAGGTGCATTGCTGACAAGGGAGGTGAGAGTTGGAACGTTGTGTACCAGCAACAGTTAATGCATGAAACAGAGAGGGTCAGAAAGAGAGCAACATCAATCAAGTCTGAAAAGGTGGGGGGGGGGGCAGATTGTATGGACCTTTAAATGTAAGCCTGGGGAATTTCTATTTTATCCTAGAGGTAATAAGGAGCCACTGAAGATTCTGGAGCAGAGCAAGGGAATGATATGTTTCGATCTGTTTTAGGAATATCAGTTTGGCAGCTGTGTGGAGAATAGATTGGAGAGACCAGGGTCAGGGAAACAAATGAAGAAGCTATTGCAAGAGACCAGGCAAAAAATGAGAGTGTCTCAACTAGGACAGACTAAATTCTCCACTGCTGAGTGGAGAGAGCGGGACAAGACTAGGGTCACCCAGCGCTACTGACCAGGGTCCTGTATCATTTTCTCATTTACCTGTCTTCTACTGCAGTGGATCCAATTAAATTCATGTCAGTCTCTATGTCATCGAAAACCTTTGCCAACTTTTCTTCTCTCTCCTGTAAAGCCATCTTGGCTTCAAGGATCTGACGGTCAACTGCATGATATTCCTCAAGAGTATATTCTTTGTAGGCCACACACAATGTTCGATATCCATCCTGGAAGCACAGGTCACATTTAGGACTTTCCATGTAGATGCAATTGACATCAACCCATTCACACGGCAATGAATGGAAATTCTATCTTAAATAAAAGCTAACTGGTTTTTATTTTTAGCATACAAAATAGCTCATTTTGTGAAAGTTAAAGTCCTGGCAAATGATGCAATATAGAAATGATGAAGAGTAAAAAAACCAGAAATGATGAAGAATAAAAAAAAAAAACAACAAAGTAATAAATGCCATAAAAAAGTATGATGGAAAAAAAAAAGATTGGCTGACCCTATGGCGAGATTGAGGGGTAACCACTGGACAGCCCATCTGCTCTGCTGTTATCCTCAAGATGTCAAGAGAAAGTAAAGAATGAACCCCAGGATATATGAGGGATCCCCTATGGCAAACTTATGAAATGACAAGGACAAGAATGGCATTGAATGGATAGGCATAGATGAGTTGCTATCAGCATTTGAGTACTCCAAAGAAAGGGAAGGAAAATATTGTACTATCAGAGTCTAGGCAAGTCTCCAAAACTATAAATCTATACTAGAAAACTATACCAAGAGGAGTTTTTCAAAAAAAGAAAAAAGGAAAAGAAAATGTCCCTTAACGCTGCCCTCTCCAAACCTAAGATGTACAATAAATGCCAAATTAAAATGTGTTTAAAGAGGAAACCTCCTCACCAAGTTGTCCTTGGGGACCACTTACCATTGCATTGCGTTCCACGTGGACTTTAGTCTGTTCTATCTGGTCCCTTTGCACCCTGGGGAAAACAGCAGAGTCTGCTCCCTTACAAAACAGAAATATGTCACCTAGAATAAAGAACCAGAAAATGTGGATGAGAAAAGGGTAAAAAAAAAAAACCTCTATGGAGCTCTTAATAATTCAGCTCCACTCAATACGTCTTTATTAAATGCCTACTAGGTAAGAGGCAATATGCTAGGAACTGACAGAGAGAGAGAAACAAAATAAAACAAACTATAGCTCCTGTCCTCAGAGAGCTTATATCCTATCAGAAATTAATTTAAGTAATGTAATTAAAGTCTTTTTCTTTTATGAAAAATTCAATGTTGCTATAAACCTTTTTAAATAAAAAATAAAAATAAATGAGGAGAACTAATCAAATAAACTTTGAATTCTAACCATCTTTTAGTGCACTCCACCCTGCCATCATTAAACCATGATCTGAAAGACAATACCCTTTCATTTCAATAACTCTTGCCCCGGGGCCCTGCTATCCTGATTGAGAATGCCTCACATGGCCCACTCCATGTAGGCAGGCTCCCTCTATGCCTCACCTCCCAGACCCACCATCTTCTCACTCTCTCCATTTTCTAGCTCTCAAACCCATAAGTAAATTAATACTGCCATTGGTACTGAAAAGGGTGCACCTGTCCACCATCTTATGACTCCTAGATTCACGATTCCAGTAACTTTCCAAACTGAAATACCCCTCCCTGAATATCATTCCCCTACACATCTTCCCCAGTTAGAATCTAAGCTCCCTGAAGGAGCTTTTATATTTTCATTCCCAGCATTTAATAGAGTGCTTGGCACTCAAGGAGTACTTAATAATTGCTTTTTTATTTATTGATTCACTCTCAGCTTTCTTTCCTAAGCCTCAATTTTCCCATCTGCAAAATGGAAAGATTAATATCTATTATATTCTTACAGGGGTGGGGTATAGTTCAAATCAGCTAATGTCAAGAGAGGTGCTAGGGGGCCATAATGCACCATGGGATGGCCAGACATTGTCACCAACAGCAGCATAATTCTTCGACACATACCTCGGGCATTTCTCACAATCACGCTCATACGTCTCCGGGAAGAATCAAAGTGTAAAGTATGGAGAAGCTTGAACCTTTAGGGAAAAAGAGATTGAAAAAATGAAAAAACCTAAATTCCACTAAGAATAGGGACTAGACTATAACCATACTAGGAAACAACCAAATAATGTATTTGGGGTGGGGGGGGATGGGGCTGGCGGAGAGGAGAATTTTTTTTTAAATAAAAAAAATTTTTTTTTAAATAAAAAGGCATAACATTCAGTCATTCAACACACATGTACTGACTGCCTACAGCAAGCAAAGCCCTGTCCTTCAGGGACTGGGAGAGCCATGGGGAACAATAGGCCACAATCCCTTCAAGGAACTAACAATCTGGGTCAGGAACTATGTTTTCACCTGCGTTTGTAGCCCCAGTACTCAGCATTGTTTGGCACTTTTTTTTTGTTGTTGTTGTTGTTGTTGTTGAGTTGTTTTTTCAGTCGTATTGGACTCTGCAAGACTCTATTTGGAGTTTCCTTGGCAGAGATATACTGCAGTGGGTTGCCATTTCCTTTTCCAGCTCCTTGGACAGATGAGGAAACTGAGGCCAATGGGGTGAAGTGATTTGCCCAGGGTCACACAGCTAGCGTCTGAGGGCCAGATTTGAACTCAAGAAAATGACTCTTCCTGATTCCAGGCCCAGTGCTCCATCCAATGTGCCACCCAACCACCCTAGTGCCCATAGTTAAATACTCATTAAACGTGCATTAACTGACTTGGGGGGGGAGGGAGATTATGTCTTTGAGAAATATAATATAAATGGGAATCGGATATATGACTAAAAAGAGTATATAGTGGTCTGAGAGCAGATGAGAGAGAGACATCACTTCTGGCCAGAGGATGGGGACAGCTTTCTAGACCATGTGACTTGTGACCTGGGCATTGTAAGATGGGGCGGCTGTCACCAGGTGGTGCTGCTGAGAAGGTGTGTTCATAAGATTATAGATTTGGAACTAGAATGGCAGTCCAACCAAGTGATATCCTTAAATAAAAAGACCCAGGGCCCAGAAATGTGAAGTGACTTGCTCACCTGACCAAAGCTACGCAGCCAATAAATGGCAGGGACAGCTATGAAGTCAGTTCCTCTGACACCAGATCTCACGCTCTTTCCCAGGTCTTCCTGACTCAGAAGACAGCCCCCTAATCCACTATGACACACTGCCTCCAGGCTATGGCAATATTTTATTCACTGCTTATGGCAGAGATTCCCTCATAAGCCCTTAAATGTCTGACTCTGACTTCGCATTACTTTGTAAACATATTCACTACACAAAAACACTAAAACAGAGAGAAGCCCATATTTTTTCCCAATCTCTCATAGCTCAAAAAATAAAATCTTCCACACATGATAAGCCACAATAAGACAAAATCTATGTCCCCCTGCAAGGCTGAAATTATATACTAAGGCCAAGGCCATAATCCAAAGGTGGCTGGGTAGTCCTGAGGTCAGGGCAAGCTGACCCAGCAGTATGAGCTATAGACCTAGACCATTGTCACTCTCTCAGCAGGAAGGTCACCTTGACCTACTCCATTAAGTAGGCTCAACTCATTAGCTAAGGAAAACCCATGGTGTTCATTTTCACACCAATGCCAGATAATTACCTTTATTGGGGAGCAAAGTCACCTAGGTCAGCCTTCTACTCACAGAGCCCAGCCCATCAAGGCAAAGAAGTCCCCTGTTCTTTATTTGGACCCAGCTTCCTTCGTGGTCTTTTCTGAATCCACTGGTTGTTTACTGAGGTGTCAAGGAAATGAGACCTGTTATTAACTCTACTTACTCTTCAATTTCATTCTGTTGGTTTTCCAATTTCATGCGGCCATCCTTAATTCCCAAATAGGTGTATCCATACCTGCAAGGGAGCAAACCAACACTGAAGGTTATTTCCCATATGTCCCAGTTATCATTGTCAGCATCATCAAGTCTGGACCTATGATTTCATCCATACAGAGTACTTCCATCATGAAAGCAGATTGACAGTTATAACTGATAGTCTAAAAGCAGGCATGCTTAGCTCTCTTCTGTGTCCTGGACCCCATCCCCCACCCCCACCACACCCTGACAGTCTGGTGAAGTTCATGGAAGCTTTCTCAGAAAAATGGTTTTAAGTGCATAAAATAAAACACACGATTATACTGAAGATGTCATGTTCTTCCCATTGAGATCTATCCATGGACTCCTTAGGGGTCTCTTAGACCGTGGTTAAGATCTCTCATCTTAGACCCACAGGGCCTAGAGCACTGTGAAGGTAGGTGACGTGCCCAGGCTCACACATGGGACAGAGATAGAACCTGAACACAGCTCTTTCTGACTCTACGGTCGGTCATGAATCCACTAAGCCATCCTGGCTGCTAGCATTATTAACATTCTTCTCATCCACTCTGGTGGAGATCCGGTAGCAATGGCCCTAGGACAAGTCAATATCCTATTATTCTTTTTGGTTTAATATTCTGTCATCTATGGTACAAGTGGACAAAATGATAACTGACAAAAAGTAAACACTCTGGGGGTTCCCACTGGATAAGCAACAACAGCAGCAGTATAAGAGATCATATTTTTGTCTGACTCTGTGACTTAATTGAAGCAGCAAGGTGGCACAATGGATACAGCACTGGCCCTGGAGTCAGGAAGACCTGAGTTCAAATCTGGCCTCAGACAATTACTAGCTATGTGAACCTGGGCCAGTCACTCAACCTCTGTCTGCCTCTCCTCAACGTAACATCAGGATAATAACAGCACCTACTTCCCACGGTTACTGTGAGAATTGACTGAAATAATATTTGTAAAGTACTTAGCACAGTGCAGGTACTTACTAAATGTTTGTTTTCTTCCTTCCTAATTGGTATGGGGAACTCCAAGCACAGAAGTTCCCTCTGCCAAATCTGATTGGCAAGTACTCTGCAACTTGTAGCCATAGAAAGTTGCCTGGGGCACCGAGAGGTGAAGTGATTTGCCCAGGAACATTAGCAATTAATTAAGAAGCATTTATTAAATACTTACTATGGTGCAGAGTGCTAGAGATGGAAAGACAAAGAATGAAATAATCCATCCTCTCCAGGAGGCACACAGGCAAATGTTGAATCAGAGTGTTCCTGACTCAGAGGACAGCCCCCTAATCCATTATGACACATCGCCTCCAGCCTATATCAATATTTTATATTCATTGCTCACGTCAGAGACTCCCTCATAAGCCCTTAAATATCCGACTCTGATTCTGTATTAACTTGTAAACCTATTCACTAGACAAGGACACTGGAACAGAGATAAACCCACGTTTTTCTCCATCTCTTGCAGCTCAAAAAAGAAAATCCTCCTCAGGAGAAAAATAAAAGACTGTGCTTACTTCTTAGCCCCCTTTACCAAAGCAATTTCATCAGGGGATGAGGAGATATACGTTAATTCAGTCTCTTCGACAATTCCGTCAATATCATCTTTTACTTGGGTTTCCACAGTATGGCACAGGCACAGAGCACGGAGAAAGAGCTGTTCCCGACTCTGCAATTGCAAAAATAACCAAGAATGTTCCTGTTTTAGTCAATGAAGATCACAAAATCTCAGATTTTGTCCAATTGAACTTTTCTTCCTCTTCTCTCTATGACATCTAGGACAAGCAGGCCTCAAGCCTCTGCTTGAAGATCTCCTGGTGTTGGGGAACTCCCTACCTCAGGGCAGCTGTCCACTCTGGGACTGCTCTGTCTCAAACAGGGTTTCCTTTCACCAAGACTAAATCGGAATCTGGAACTTAAAAAAAAACCCAACCCAACAAATAAAACTTTTATTTACATGTGATTGAGAAAAAAATAAAATAAAACTTAATGTAAAAAAAAAATAAACAAAACTAAATCTGCCTCTCTTCAACTTCAACCTGGTGCTCTTACCTCTGCTCTCTGAAGAACAAAACTAATTAAAGAGCACAGAAAAGATATCATCAGAGGAGGCTGTGATGTAATCCAGACGTGTGGCCCAAGGGCCACCTACAGCTGCAACACACCCAAGCCAGATTAAAATGTAATTTGAAAATATTCCATGAAATAAATAAAATTACAATGAAACATAGATAACATTAAATTTGGTAACTAGATTTGCCGCCTCCATTTCCATTGGAGTTTGATAGCACTATTATGCACAGTTCAGTGGATATGGGCAGCTCCTTCTACTAATCTAGTCTAGATCATGCCCTCTAGGAAAGGCTAGAAGGGCTCCACCCATGGTGCTTGGGGGCATTTCACTGTAACCCAAGAAATATGAACTGGAAGGTAAACAGAACTTTATCCATGCAGAAAGTTATTATGTCTTAAACAAAGCAGAGCTTTCTAGTGCCCTGGCAGTCTCTGGTTACAAGTCCTAATACCTCTAGGTATCAGGTGTGTTAACACTTTCTGAGCAGAACAAGATTGGATGATCCTGGAGAAGTAAATCAATCAGACTAAAATGAATGGCAGCCTGAGGGCCTCCCTCAGAAGGGGACAAGAAGTTAGGCATAATAAGCATCTGGCTGGTTAAACATCCAGACCAGAGGACCTTCCCTCAAGGAAATTATCCAGTGAATGACAAGCAAGAATGACAATCAAGAATTTCTTTCAACACCTCCTCCCTCCTGGACCTCAGTTTCCCCAACTGTAAAATGAAGGGGGTAGGACTAGATGCCTCCTAAGTTCTCTTGCTGGAAGGGAGTTTTCTTTATTGGGGAAAAGGGTGTTTGGGGAGGAGAAAAGAGAAAGGGGTTAGTAAGAATGATAGGGAAAAAAAGGGGTTCATTGAAGCATTTCTTTTTAATGACCAGAAGAGAACAGAAGAAAGTTCAGAAGGAGATACAGACAGCTCTGAAACTGTGCTGAAAGGAGATTAGCTGTTTCATTTATAATATTTTTTTTTCCTGTTCTTTGTTTACAGAAATGTTTGCATTTGTGGACATTTAAAATAACAAAAAATAAAGATTTTTTTTTTACAAAATCAAGCTCCTTTCCTGCTCTAATGTCTGATCCTAAATAAAATGTCCAATCTTCTAAACCCTCCTTCTGAAGACCATTCTAGGACTAACCAAAGCTCAGGCTATTTGGTTCCCTTTTCCACTCACTCCCACTCCCACCCCTCATAGCATTTTACCTTATACATCATATAGGATGGATCCCCTATGGAGGATTGATGTATGGGCTACTATTAGCATCACTGGAGGGAGTATAACAACAGATCCATTCAAATTCACTCAAAGTAGTGATGATGAACGAAAAACAAAACTACTTAACCAAAATCACCAACCTTTTCTGCTCTTCCAGGAAGTGGCTGAATTCCATCAGTTTCAGAGAATGTCTCTGTTTCTGCAGTTTCCTCCTTATACGTATGTCCATCTATGCAACATTCAATAAATTCCATGGTGTTTTCAGTAAGGGTCCCAGTTTTGTCAGTAAATACATACTCCACCTTCAGGGAGAAAAAAAGAAACATAAGGGGAATTAGAATGTAGCATGTAAACTCCCTGAGGGCAAGGATTAGTGTGGATGTTTTTGTCTCTGTGGGGCCAGCATCTAGTAACTCAGGGCTTCCTATATGTTTCTTCATTGTCATCCATTTCTACCCGATTCTAAGTCAAGGAACACATATTAAGTTGTTAGAAAATTATGTAAAAGCATTTTGCAAATCTTAAAAGGCTAGAGGAAAGGTAGCTATTCCTAACTGGAAAAGACCTTAGGAACCATGTAATCCCACCATTTTATTTTAAGGCAGTCTGGCAAATTGGAGCGAGTGCTGAACTTGGAAGTTAAGATGACCTGGGTTCAAATCCTGCCTTGGCCAATTGTGGTGTGTGTGTATGACAGAGAGAGAGACAGAAAGAGAGAGAGACACCTTGGGCAAGCCCTTTAACCTTTCCCAGATTCTGTTTCTTCATCTGTACAATGGGAATAACAGTAGCAATATCACAGAACTATTACGAGGATCGGATAAGAGAATGTATGTAAACTGCCCTGTATACCCCAGAGAAAGCTACATAAGTGATGGCCATCATTATTACCATTATGGAAAAAGCGTTCTTCTCATTTTGTTCAGTGGAGTTCAGATAGAAGCAGTCCTGGAAAATGTTCTTTCTTCTTTAAGTTAACGTATCAAGGACTATGGCAGGGATTGTTAAAATCCTAACTTTTAGTAATTAAATAAGAATATAATGATGTCAGCTTATCCTCTGAAGGCAATCTTCAGTAAAACTCCAGTAAAAGACAGATAACAAGAATGACTTGGACTTCATTCTGTGCCATTGGGGGAACATTTTCTATTACTCAGCAAAATGACTACCTGCTTTCTCCAAAAGTATTTCTGTAGGTTTAAGACATGTTTACCATGTGTTCTGAGAATATCTATAAATCTTCTTCCTCTTTCGTGGTGAGGAAATGTTAGTGCTTCTAAAACATACTTAGGGTGATGGGCAATGGGAGTGCGTAATATCATATAAGTTTTTGTTAGGATATTTTCCAAATCTGCTATGTTCTATTTTCCAGGTTTTTCTATTTTGATTCTTTTTGTTAAAGGCAACTTGGAAACTATGGTAACATCGATTAAAAAACATTGTTCAAGTCTTTATGGACCAACATAATGTTCAGACAACTAGGGGTAACAATTTGATCTATGACAACATTCCAGATCTTTGATGGTTTGTTTATGGGCTGAGTTCTCCAGGCAGCTAGGTGACACACTAGGTAGAACACTAGGCTTGTAATCAGAAAGATCCAAGTTCAACTCTAGCCTCAGACACTTACTAGCTGTGTGACGCTGGGCAAGTCACTTCACCTATTTATCTCACTTTACTCATCTGTACAATGAACATCATGACAGCATCAGCCTCAGAGGGTTATTGTGAGGATCAGATGAGATCTTTGTAAAGTTCTTTGAAAACTTTAAAGTGCTATATAAATGCTAGCTATTATTGTTTTGCAATCTCTATTTGTACTATGGGGATTTGTCATCCATCAGTCCATGAAAGATAGCATCTTCTGATGTATAATTGTGGCCACCAGGTCATATATTCTTAGGTTTCAAGTACATACTACATTTTTACAGGCTGAAAAATAATACAGTTTCTACCATTTCCTTACATGATTTGCACTGATTAGATTAAGACCCATCTGCTGAAGGATAACCCTGTTGCAATTTCTGGTAGAGATGACCAGGTCCTGCATGGCCATGAAAAACCCTTCTTTTTTCACAAATAAGTCCACATGATGGACATTTGTTTGACCCTTCTTTGTTAACACATTGCTGGCAGAGCTCATGAGGATGTTACCCATGAAGGGCCTTTTCAGTCTAGTCTTAATCTCATTCTTTTCATAGGCTCCATCTAGAGGGAAACTACTTTGAGGTATATTCAGCAAATCCAATGATGTGTGCCTGGTATCAGCCTTTCCTATGGCTCAGTGACTGTTTGCCTGTTCCAAAAGTGTTTCTGTAGGTTTAAGACATGTTTACCACATTCTCTGAGAATGCCTATCAGTTTTCTTCCTCCTTCTTGGCAAGGAAGTGTTAATGTTTCTAAAACTTAAGATGATGGGCTATGAGCTTGGTTAATATTGTATAGGTTTTTCTTACAATATTATCCAAATCTAAATCTGTTGGGTTCCATTTTATAGTAGTGAAAGTACGCATTGTCTGGCAATGCGTTAAGTGTGAATTGCTTTAAATATAATCTTCCCATTGAGTTTTGATTTCAGGATGCCTGCATGTATCTTAACACTCAGCCAGAACTTCCTTCTTTATAGTTTTATGCTCATATATCTTATGTGGAGGACACCAAGGTTTTTATAAGTATAGCCTTCATCCAATGTTTCAATGTAACCTCTAGTTGAGAATTTTACACTTCTTGTTGCTGTTCAGTCCTTTCAATTGTGTCTGACTCTCCCCATTTGGGATTTTCTTGGCAAAGATACTAGAGTGGTTTGCTATTTCCTTTTCCAGTTCATTTTACAGATGAGCAAACTGAGGTAGACAGCCTTAAGTGACTTGCCCAGGGTGACAGTGTAAGTGTCTGAGGCCAGATTTGAACTCAGGAAGATAAGTCTTCCTGACTTCAGGCCTGGCACTCTAGCCACTGCAGTGCCACCTAGCTGACCCAATTTTACACTTATGAAGTCCGAATAACAGTTTCCTTTAGTTGGAGAGATGGTCCATGCAATCAAAAACCTATTAATTGTCTTTTCTGGAAGAACCTTAGAATTTGATGCCAACCATGTATACCAAGTGATTAGTAAGATTTCTGTTTTGGTTCAATACCCCCTCTCTTTAATTTAGAAGCCATGTATACTTCTATCTGGGTGGTTTTAAGGCCAAGCAGAGATACAATGAGCTTAAACTGAGTCTCTGGAAAATGCCACGCTTTATACCATTTATTCTTAACATTATTGTGTCAAGGGGGTGTTGTAAATATTAAATTTTTCCATGTGGATATAAAATGTTTGAGTTTCCTTACTTGTAACACTTAAGCCATGAGAGTAGAACTGATGACAGTAATGGTAACAATGACAGCATCATTGGAGATCGCATACATTTAGCATCTACAAACTACCAAGAAAGACATGATCAGGTGGCTAAAATCATACATCAGAAATTTACTATTCATTACAAACAAACCAATGACAGGTCCCCAACCTCAAAATGTATGTGAGAATTCAACAAATAAACATCACTGCAACTTTAGCATAACCAAGGAGGGAACCATTGTTCATGACTGCCCAGACAAAACAGCGATCCACAAAAATTTAAGAAAGATTTTCTAACAGATATAGCTATCCCAAATACACATAATCTCTAAACTAAATAGAAGGAAAAGCTTTCAAAATATAGAGACTTAGCAGAAGAGGTTAAAGCCATATGGCAGCAGGATGAGGTCAGTATTATCCTTGTCGTCCTCTATATTATATTGGAGCAGTCCAAAGATTGCCCTCAGTGAATCTATATAAAAATGAGTTTACATCACCATATTCAGATTCAGTTACAGAAAGCAGATATTTTATCCACCAGTCCATATAAAATAATAATAGTAAGTCTTTGTCAAATCATTCTCATTCTAACTTTATCAAAAAAGATGAGAACAAGAAGATGATAACAGAAGAACAATAACAATGATGATGATGACAATGATGATAATAATAATACTTAAACTTCACCTAGTGAAGATAATATTCCTTCCCAAATGGGGCAATGGCAAAGGAATTCACACTGATTTAAGATGTCAAGGGCGAAGCCATTCCAAGGAAAGAAAGTAAGGGCAATTTTTCCAAATCAAGAACTACTTATTAAAAGGTACAGGTCTTTTTTCTTTCTTTCTTTTTTTAAACAATTTCTACAGGAAAATTCAGCTTTCGAAAAACACAACAAAGACAAGCTACTTACCACTTATACAGGTTATACACAAAATATCACATGATTACTTCTGTTCAAAATAAAGTAGGGAATCTGAATGGATTGTTAAAATAAGATCTCACAGTTTTACAGCTTTTCAATTTACAAAGCATTTTCCTGATAATAACACTGGAAAGTTTCCCACTGGACTATGAAATATAATGGCTAGATGGGGATTCAGGAAGATCTCAGCTTGAAATCTACCTCAGACACTTAGTAGCCATGTGACCACCAGCAATTGAGTCATCCAACCTCGCTCAACCTCAGTCTCCCTGCAGAATGGGAATGAATGCAGATAGATAGATAGATAGAATGATAGACAGGATAGACAGATAGGAAAGATAGAATGATAGAATAATAGATAGAATAGATAGATAGAATGATAGGATAGACAGGAAGAATGATAGGATAGATATAGATAGATAGATAAATAATGCTGATAGAGGATAGCTATGTTTATAGATGGATGGATAAACTGGTAGCTAGATAATGTTGATGGATAGACAGATGTTGGTAGATGGATAATAGATAAGTTGGTAGATAAATAGATGATGGATAGATAGGGAGATAATGTTGGTAGATAAATTGGTAGATAAATAATACCTGTGAGTTTCACAAGAGATGATGTGTGTAAAAGACTTTGTAAAGCTTAAGGTGCTATGGAAATGTCACATGTTTTGGGTTTTGGGGTTTTTTTTGGTTGAGGTCTGTAATTTCATCATTGTCCAAAGGTGGGGTACCTGTGGCCTCCAGGCCACATGTGGCCTTCTAGGTCCTCAGGTGTGGCCTTTTGCCAGACACCAAGTTTTACAGAATAAATCCTTTTATTAAGGGGATTTGTTCTGTGAAGTTTAGATTCAAAGGGCCACACTTGAGGACCTAGAAGGCCACCTGGGGCTTTGAGGCTGCAGGTTCCCCACCCTGACATAGGTAATAACCTCCCCCCATAAATATCAGCAGCTCATTTGTAACTAAGTAAGAGAGAGTCACCTCGAGCCCTGAGGGGGTATGTGATTTGCTTAGTCACCCAAATAGCT